ATCTCAGCTCTGGAAGGGTCTAGAGCCTCCATTTTTGCACTCAGGTCAAAGTCTCACAGCCCTCTATCAGAATCCAGAGTTTTGAGAAGATTGGAGAAACTTAATTTTTCGCCCAAAATGAAAAAAAACGAAAGGGGTAACACTGTCGTTTTTTTTTCGGGTCGAAATTTTGAATTTCGATATCTCAGCTCTGGAAGGGTCTAGAGCCTCCATTTTTGCACTCAGGTCAAAGTCTCACGGCCCTCTATCAGAATCCAGAGTTTTGAGAAGATTGGAGAAACTTAATTTTTCGCCCAAAAATGAAAAAAAAACGAAAGGGGTAACACTGTCGTTTTTTTTTTCGGGTCGAAATTTTGAATTTCGATATCTCAGCTCTGGAAGGGTCTAGAGCCTCCATTTTTGCACTCAGGTCAAAGTCTCACAGCCCTCTATCAGAATCCAGAGTTTTGAGAAGATTGGAGAAACTTAATTTTTCGCCCAAAAATGAAAAAAAAACGAAAGGGGTAACACTGTCGTTTTTTTTTTCGGGTCGAAATTTTGAATTTCGATATCTCAGCTCTGGAAGGGTCTAGAGCCTCCATTTTTGCACTCAGGTCAAAGTCTCACAGCCCTCTATCATAATCCAGAGTTTTGAGAAGATTGGAGAAACTTAATTTTTCGCCCCAAAAATGAAAAAAAACGAAAGGGGTAACACTGTCGTTTTTTTTCGGGTCGAAATTTTGAATTTCGATATCTCAGCTCTGGAAGGGTCTAGAGCCTCCTTTTTTGCACTCAGATCTAAGGCTCACGACCCTCTATCAGAATCCAGAGTTTTGAGAAGATTAGGGAAACTTAATTTTTCGCCCAAAAAAAGAAAAAAAACGAAAGGGGTAACACTGTCGTTTTTTTCGGGTCGAAATTTTGAATTTCGATATCTCAGCTCTGGAAGGGTCTAGAGCCTCCATTTTTGCACTCAGGTCAAAGTCTCACAGGCCCTCTATCAGAATCCAGAGTTTTGAGAAGATTGGAGAAACTTAATTTTTCGCCCAAAAATGAAAAAAAAACGAAAGGGGTAACACTGTCGTTTTTTTTTTTCGGGTCGAAATTTTGAATTTCGATATCTCAGCTCTGGAAGGGTCTAGAGCCTCCATTTTTGCACTCAGGTCAAAGTCTCACAGCCCTCTATCAGAATCCAGAGTTTTGAGAAGATTGGAGAAACTTAATTTTTCGCCCAAAAATGAAAAAAAACGAAAGGGGTAACACTGTCGTTTTTTTTCGGGTCGAAATTTTGAATTTCGATATCTCAGCTCTGGAAGGGTCTAGAGCCTCCATTTTTGCACTCAGGTCAAAGTCTCGTGGCCCTCTATCATAATCCAGAGTTTTGAGAAGATTGGAGAAACTTAATTTTTCGCCCAAAAATGAAAAAAAAACGAAAGGGGTAACACTGTCGTTTTTTTTTCGGGTCGAAATTTTGAATTTCGATATCTCAGCTCTGGAAGGGTCTAGAGCCTCCATTTTTGCACTCAGGTCAAAGTCTCACAGCCCTCTATCAGAATCCAGAGTTTTGAGAAGATTGGAGAAACTTAATTTTTCGCCCAAAAATGAAAAAAAACGAAAGGGGTAACACTGTCGTTTTTTTTTTCGGGTCGAAATTTTGAATTTCGATATCTCAGCTCTGGAAGGGTCTAGAGCCTCCATTTTTGCACTCAGGTCAAAGTCTCACAGCCCTCTATCATAATCCAGAGTTTTGAGAAGATTGGAGAAACTTAATTTTTCGCCCAAAAATGAAAAAAAAAACGAGGGGTAACACTGTCGTTTTTTTTTCGGGTCGAAATTTTGAATTTCGATATCTCAGCTCTGGAAGGGTCTAGAGCCTCCATTTTTGCACTCAGGTCAAAGTCTCACAGCCCTCTATCATAATCCAGAGTTTTGAGAAGATTGGAGAAACTTAATTTTTCGCCCAAAAATGAAAAAAAAACGAAAGGGGTAACACTGTCGTTTTTTTTTTCGGGTCGAAATTTTGAATTTCGATATCTCAGCTCTGGAAGGGTCTAGAGCCTCCATTTTTGCACTCAGGTCAAAGTCTCACAGCCCTCTATCATAATCCAGAGTTTTGAGAAGATTGGAGAAACTTAATTTTTCGCCCAAAAATGAAAAAAAACGAAAGGGGTAACACTGTCGTTTTTTTTTCGGGTCGAAATTTTGAATTTCGATATCTCAGCTCTGGAAGGGTCTAGAGCCTCCATTTTTGCACTCAGGTCAAAGTCTCACGGCCCTCTATCATAATCCAGAGTTTTGAGAAGATTGGAGAAACTTAATTTTTCGCCCAAAAATGAAAAAAAAAAACGAAAGGGGTAACACTGTCGTTTTTTTTTTTCGGGTCGAAATTTTGAATTTCGATATCTCAGCTCTGGAAGGGTCTAGAGCCTCCATTTTTGCACTCAGGTCAAAGTCTCACAGCCCTCTATCATAATCCAGAGTTTTGAGAAGATTGGAGAAACTTAATTTTTCGCCCAAAAATGAAAAAAAACGAAAGGGGTAACACTGTCGTTTTTTTTTTCGGTCGAAATTTTGAATTTCGATATCTCAGCTCTGGAAGGGTCTAGAGCCTCCATTTTTGCACTCAGGTCAAAGTCTCACAGGCCTCTATCATAATCCAGAGTTTTGAGAAGATTGGAGAAACTTAATTTTTCGCCCAAAAAATGAAAAAAAACGAAAGGGGTAACACTGTCGTTTTTTTTTCGGGTCGAAATTTTGAATTTCGATATCTCAGCTCTGGAAGGGTCTAGAGCCTCCATTTTTGCACTCAGGTCAAAGTCTCACAGCCCCTCTATCATAATCCAGAGTTTTGAGAAGATTGGAGAAACTTAATTTTTCGCCCAAAATGAAAAAAAACGAAAGGGGTAACACTGTCGTTTTTTTTTCGGGTCGAAATTTTGAATTTCGATATCTCAGCTCTGGAAGGGTCTAGAGCCTCCATTTTTGCACTCAGGTCAAAGTCTCACAGCCCTCTATCATAATCCAGAGTTTTGAGAAGATTGGAGAAACTTAATTTTTCGCCAAAAATGAAAAAAAACGAAAGGGGTAACACTGTCGTTTTTTTTTTCGGGTCGAAATTTTGAATTTCGATATCTCAGCTCTGGAAGGGTCTAGAGCCTCCATTTTTGCACTCAGGTCAAAGTCTCACAGCCCTCTATCATAATCCAGAGTTTTGAGAAGATTGGAGAAACTTAATTTTTCGCCCAAAAATGAAAAAAAAACGAAAGGGGTAACACTGTCGTTTTTTTTTCGGGTCGAAATTTTGAATTTCGATATCTCAGCTCTGGAAGGGTCTAGAGCCTCCATTTTTGCACTCAGGTCAAAGTCTCACAGCCCTCTATCATAATCCAGAGTTTTGAGAAGATTGGAGAAACTTAATTTTTCGCCCAAAAATGAAAAAAAACGAAAGGGGTAACACTGTCGTTTTTTTTTCGGGTCGAAATTTTGAATTTCGATATCTCAGCTCTGGAAGGGTCTAGAGCCTCCATTTTTGCACTCAGGTCAAAGTCTCACAGCCCTCTATCATAATCCAGAGTTTTGAGAAGATTGGAGAAACTTAATTTTTCGCCCAAAATGAAAAAAAAACGAAAGGGTAACACTGTCGTTTTTTTTTCGGGTCGAAATTTTGAATTTCGATATCTCAGCTCTGGAAGGGTCTAGAGCCTCCATTTTTGCACTCAGGTCAAAGTCTCACAGCCCTCTATCAGAATCCAGAGTTTTGAGAAGATTGGAGAAACTTAATTTTTCGCCCAAAATGAAAAAAAAAAACGAAAGGGGTAACACTGTCGTTTTTTTTTCGGGTCGAAATTTTGAATTTCGATATCTCAGCTCTGGAAGGGTCTAGAGCCTCCATTTTTGCACTCAGGTCAAAGTCTCACGGCCCTCTATCATAATCCAGAGTTTTGAGAAGATTGGAGAAACTTAATTTTTCGCCCAAAAATGAAAAAAAACGAAAGGGGTAACACTGTCGTTTTTTTTTCGGGTCGAAATTTTGAATTTCGATATCTCAGCTCTGGAAGGGTCTAGAGCCTCCATTTTTGCACTCAGGTCAAAGTCTCACAGCCCTCTATCATAATCCAGAGTTTTGAGAAGATTGGAGAAACTTAATTTTTCGCCCAAAAATGAAAAAAAAACGAAAGGGGTAACACTGTCGTTTTTTTTTCGGGTCGAAATTTTGAATTTCGATATCTCAGCTCTGGAAGGGTCTAGAGCCTCCATTTTTGCACTCAGGTCAAAGTCTCGTGGCCCTCTATCAGAATCCAGAGTTTTGAGAAGATTGGAGAAACTTAATTTTTCGCCCAAAATGAAAAAAAACGAAAGGGGTAACACTGTCGTTTTTTTTTCGGGTCGAAATTTTGAATTTCGATATCTCAGCTCTGGAAGGGTCTAGAGCCTCCATTTTTGCACTCAGGTCAAAGTCTCACAGCCCTCTATCAGAATCCAGAGTTTTGAGAAGATTGGAGAAACTTAATTTTTCGCCCAAAAATGAAAAAAAACGAAAGGGGTAACACTGTCGTTTTTTTTTCGGGTCGAAATTTTGAATTTCGATATCTCAGCTCTGGAAGGGTCTAGAGCCTCCATTTTTGCACTCAGGTCAAAGTCTCGTGGCCCTCTATCAGAATCCAGAGTTTTGAGAAGATTGGAGAAACTTAATTTTTCGCCCAAAAATGAAAAAAAACGAAAGGGGTAACACTGTCGTTTTTTTTTTCGGGTCGAAATTTTGAATTTCGATATCTCAGCTCTGGAAGGGTCTAGAGCCTCCATTTTTGCACTCAGGTCAAAGTCTCACAGCCCTCTATCATAATCCAGAGTTTTGAGAAGATTGGAGAAACTTAATTTTTCGCCCAAAAATGAAAAAAAACGAAAGGGGTAACACTGTCGTTTTTTTTTCGGGTCGAAATTTTGAATTTCGATATCTCAGCTCTGGAAGGGTCTAGAGCCTCCATTTTTGCACTCAGGTCAAAGTCTCACAGCCCTCTATCAGAATCCAGAGTTTTGAGAAGATTGGAGAAACTTAATTTTTCGCCCAAAAATGAAAAAAAACGAAAGGGGTAACACTGTCGTTTTTTTTTCGGGTCGAAATTTTGAATTTCGATATCTCAGCTCTGGAAGGGTCTAGAGCCTCCATTTTTGCACTCAGGTCAAAGTCTCACAGCCCTCTATCATAATCCAGAGTTTTGAGAAGATTGGAGAAACTTAATTTTTCGCCCAAAAATGAAAAAAAACGAAAGGGGTAACACTGTCGTTTTTTTTTCGGGTCGAAATTTTGAATTTCGATATCTCAGCTCTGGAAGGGTCTAGAGCCTCCATTTTTGCACTCAGGTCAAAGTCTCACAGCCCTCTATCATAATCCAGAGTTTTGAGAAGATTGGAGAAACTTAATTTTTCGCCCAAAAATGAAAAAAAAAAACGAAAGGGGTAACACTGTCGTTTTTTTTTTCGGGTCGAAATTTTGAATTTCGATATCTCAGCTCTGGAAGGGTCTAGAGCCTCCATTTTTGCACTCAGGTCAAAGTCTCACAGCCCTCTATCAGAATCCAGAGTTTTGAGAAGATTGGAGAAACTTAATTTTTCGCCCAAAATGAAAAAAAAAACGAAAGGGGTAACACTGTCGTTTTTTTTTCGGGTCGAAATTTTGAATTTCGATATCTCAGCTCTGGAAGGGTCTAGAGCCTCCATTTTTGCACTCAGGTCAAAGTCTCACAGCCCTCTATCATAATCCAGAGTTTTGAGAAGATTGGAGAAACTTAATTTTTCGCCCAAAAATGAAAAAAAACGAAAGGGGTAACACTGTCGTTTTTTTTTCGGGTCGAAATTTTGAATTTCGATATCTCAGCTCTGGAAGGGTCTAGAGCCTCCATTTTTGCACTCAGGTCAAAGTCTCACAGCCCTCTATCATAATCCAGAGTTTTGAGAAGATTGGAGAAACTTAATTTTTCGCCCAAAAATGAAAAAAAAACGAAAGGGGTAACACTGTCGTTTTTTTTTTCGGGTCGAAATTTTGAATTTCGATATCTCAGCTCTGGAAGGGTCTAGAGCCTCCATTTTTGCACTCAGGTCAAAGTCTCACAGCCCTCTATCATAATCCAGAGTTTTGAGAAGATTGGAGAAACTTAATTTTTCGCCCAAAAATGAAAAAAAAACGAAAGGGGTAACACTGTCGTTTTTTTTTCGGGTCGAAATTTTGAATTTCGATATCTCAGCTCTGGAAGGGTCTAGAGCCTCCATTTTTGCACTCAGGTCAAAGTCTCACAGCCCTCTATCATAATCCAGAGTTTTGAGAAGATTGGAGAAACTTAATTTTTCGCCCAAAAATGAAAAAAAACGAAAGGGGTAACACTGTCGTTTTTTTTTCGGGTCGAAATTTTGAATTTCGATATCTCAGCTCTGGAAGGGTCTAGAGCCTCCATTTTTGCACTCAGGTCAAAGTCTCACAGCCCTCTATCATAATCCAGAGTTTTGAGAAGATTGGAGAAACTTAATTTTTCGCCCAAAAATGAAAAAAAACGAAAGGGGTAACACTGTCGTTTTTTTTTCGGGTCGAAATTTTGAATTTCGATATCTCAGCTCTGGAAGGGTCTAGAGCCTCCATTTTTGCACTCAGGTCAAAGTCTCACAGCCCTCTATCATAATCCAGAGTTTTGAGAAGATTGGAGAAACTTAATTTTTCGCCCAAAAAAAAAACGAAAGGGGTAAGTAACACTGTCGTTTTTTTTTTCGGGTCGAAATTTTGAGTTTCGATATCTCAGCTCTGGAAGGGTCTAGAGCCTCCATTTTTGCACTCAGGTCAAAGTCTCACAGCCCTCTATCAGAATCCAGAGTTTTGAGAAGATTGGAGAAACTTAATTTTTCGCCCGAAAACGAAAAAAAAAGAAAGGGGTAACACTGTCGTTTTTTTTTCGGGTCGAAATTTTGTAATTTGATATCTCAGCTCTGGAAGGGTCTAGAGCCTCCATTTTTGCACTCAGGTCAAAGTCTCACAGCCCTCTATCATAATCCAGAGTTTTGAGAAGATTGGAGAAACTTAATTTTTCGCCCAAAAATGAAAAAAAAACGAAAGGGGTAACACTGTCGTTTTTTTTTCGGGTCGAAATTTTGAATTTCGATATCTCAGCTCTGGAAGGGTCTAGAGCCTCCATTTTTGCACTCAGGTCAAAGTCTCACAGCCCTCTATCATAATCCAGAGTTTTGAGAAGATTGGAGAAACTTAATTTTTCGCCCAAAAATGAAAAAAAAACGAAAGGGGTAACACTGTCGTTTTTTTTTCGGGTCGAAATTTTGAATTTCGATATCTCAGCTCTGGAAGGGTCTAGAGCCTCCATTTTTGCACTCAGGTCAAAGTCTCACGGCCCTCTATCATAATCCAGAGTTTTGAGAAGATTGGAGAAACTTAATTTTTCGCCCAAAAATGAAAAAAAACGAAAGGGGTAACACTGTCGTTTTTTTTTTCGGGTCGAAATTTTGAATTTCGATATCTCAGCTCTGGAAGGGTCTAGAGCCTCCATTTTTGCACTCAGGTCAAAGTCTCACAGCCCTCTATCATAATCCAGAGTTTTGAGAAGATTGGAAGAACTTAATTTTTCGCCCGAAAAAAAACGAAAGGGGTAAGTAACACTGTCGTTTTTTTTTTTTTCAGGTCGAAATTTTGAGTTTCGATATCTCAGCTCTGGAAGGGTCTAGAGCCTCCATTTTTGCACTCAGGTCAAAGTCTCACAGCCCTCTATCAGAATCCAGAGTTTTGAGAAGATTGGAGAAACTTAATTTTTCGCCCGAAAACGAAAAAAAAGAAAGGGGTAACACTGTCGTTTTTTTTTCTGGTCGAAATTTTTAATTTTGATATCTCAGCTCTGGAAGGGTCTAGATCCTCCATTTTTGCACTCAGGTCAAAGTCTCACAGCCCTCTATCATAATCCAGAGTTTTGAGAAGATTGGAGAAAATTAATTTTTCGGCTGAAAAAGAAAAAAAACCCGAAAGGGGTAACACTGTCGTTTTTTTTTTTCGGGTCGAAATTTTAATTTCGATATCTCAGCTCTGGAAAGGTCTAGAGCCTCCATTTTTGCACTCAGGTCAAAGTTTCGTGGTCCTCTATCAGAATCCAGATTTTTGAGAAGATTGGAGAAAACTAATTTTTCGCCCGAAAACTAAAAAAAACGAAAGGGGTAACACTGTCGTTTTTTTTTCAGGTCGAAATTTTGAGTTTCGATATCTCAGCTCTGGAAGGGTTTAGAGCCTCCATTTTTGCACTCAGGTCAAAGTCTCACAGCCCTCTATCAGAATCCAGAGTTTTGAGAAGATTGGAGAAAATTAATTTTTTCGCCGAAAACGAAAAAAAAAAAAACGAAAGGGGTAACACTGTCGTTTTTTTTTCGGGTCGAAATTTTGAATTTCGATATCTCAGCTCTGGAAGTGTCTAGAGCCTCCATTTTTGCACTCAGGTCTAAGTCCCATGGTCCTCTATCAGAATCCAGAGTTTCGAGAAGATTGGAGAAACTTTTTTTTCGCACCAAAAAAAAAACCCGACAGGAGTAACACTCGTTTTTTTTTTTTTTGGGTCGAAATTTTGAGTTTGTCTGATCTTCTTGAAACTCTGGATTCTAATAGAGGGCCATGGGACTTAGACCTGAGTGCAAAAATGGAGGCTCTAGACCCTTCCAGAGCTGAGATATTGAGATACCACGTAGCATTAATGCCATTATATCTCAATATATCAGCTCTAGAGGGGTCTAGAGCCTCCATTTTTGCACTCAGGTCCAAGTCCGATGGCCCTCTATCAGAATCCAGATTTTCAAGAAGATTGGAGAAACTTATTTTTTCGCACCAAAAACAAAAAAACAAAAAAAAAAAAAAACGACAGGGGTAACACTGCGGGTTTTTTTTTTGGGTCGAAATTTTGAGTTTCTTTGATCTTCTTGAAACTCTGGATTTTGATAGAGGGCCATGGGACTTAGACCTGAGTGCAAAAATGGAGGCTCTAGACCCTTCCTGAGCTGAGATATTGAGATCCCACGTAGCATTTATGCCATTATAAATATCTCAGCTCAGGAAGGGTCTAGAGCCTCCATTTTTGCACTCAGGTCTAAGTCCCATGGCCCTCTATCAGAATCCAGAGTTTCGAGAAGATCAGAGAAACTCAAAATTTCGACCCAAAAAAAAAAACGACAGTCGTTTTTTTTGGGAGAGAAATTAAATTTCTTCAATCTTCTCAAAACTTTGGATTCTGATAGAGGGCCATGAGACTTAGACCTGAGTGCAAAAATGGAGGCTCTCTCTCACACACACTTACACACACACACACACACACACAGAACGCAGCCACCGAATCCACCGAACGCAGCCACCTGTAATAAAAATTGAGAAGAAGCTTTTCAACATGTTTGTATCAGTAATTTCTAAAAAATTAAATTCGGACAACATTAAGCCTATACCTTCTTTATTGTATGTGGATGTGGGAGGGTAATGTCGAGACTAAAGCCCTATTCGGATTAACTTTACAAGGGTAGATGGAGTAAGTTAATGTAATTTTACCACAGGACTTCTGTAATATCAATAGCCAAGTTGCACGTGATAAGATATAGGTTATCAATAAAACTAGAAGTTGGAGGGGTAACTCAACTTGCGCATCGCTGTCATGCGTACATTACGTTGCTTCCTGATCTGGGCACACACAAACAACCTACAGGGCAGTTGAATGCTTATCTGATAACCTAGAAGCTCTTGTAATAATTACTTTAACAGTTACCCCACCTCTCCATGCCGGGTGAACACAGGCTGATGCAGTAAACAGCATTTCACAACGATTTCAGTACAATAATAGCAAATATCCTTGCTCCTTCTCGATTATCTGGTAATATTCTATTCACAAAATACAACCAATAGTACAGTAATGTTAAGACTTACTTGTGAAAATCACTATTTTCGGTGGTCCGGCGATTAGAACAGGAAAATGCTCCACAGTGCTCTGGCATCTTATCTGCTGCCAGCCACGCAACAGACTAGTAGGAATACGACCGGTTCAAGATGGCGACCGGATTTCTCGTTTTCCAGCGGGCAATGGGGTATCTAGTCTCTATATGATATCTATGATAGTAACATACTGTGCGACTGTGCTCCAAAACATTGGTGCTGATTGGCCCAAGAGGAGTCCTGTGCGCCTATCTATCGATCTGCGCTCCATTGCTCTTCCTTTATCCTCCAACTACCCGGATGTCTGTCTCAGTAACTTCAGAGAAAGCAGAGAAAGTCTGAGAAAGTCTAATATGACTGAATGTTTTTTTATTTAACTTTTTCTTATTACAATAAACAATAAAGAAATCTAGCAAAGAAAGAACGTATGACAATCTCAAAATGTACAATATAAATATTATTGTATTACAAACCAAGATTCACACCTTCCGCACTAATTTTCAGTGAGGATCAAATAAATTCAATTTCAAATTATACAATTCAGATTCAGTTTTTGAATAAATTCAATTTTAATTAAACAATACAATTTCAAATTATGTGATTTAAATTAAGCTTTTCAATGCAATTATTCAAGTTTAGCCATTCAAATTCCAATATAAATGGTTCAAATTCAGTTTCTGGTGGCACATATTTCAGCCCATAGGTGGGTTTTAAACTTGCCATTTTTGGATTATAAAGTGGGTCTGACCGTTTCCATTTGTAAGAACAGCTAGTGTGACGTTAGATTTAGAGAGTCTTTGCATGACGAATGATGATGACCCATTTTTGGGTTGTTGTACGTTTGGGCTGTAATCAGCCTTACATAACACAGCGCTGATCCACTGACTATTAAGCTTCCAATATTATGAAAAAACCCCACACCCACTTTTGCTGAGATTTGCAAATATACCGTTGAATTAAATAAATTAAACACATATTTGATACAACACAAAGTCAGCTAAGATTTCACCTCGTATTTTACGCGTACGTGCGGATCTTGTGGTGATGAGAGAGTACGTCATCAGCGTCACGCGCAGCCCGCCGTCACACTCAAAAGTCAGAGCAGAACCGTTGTGTAACCGTCCCGCCGCCGGAGGGGAGGAGTCCAGACACAAATACACTCTCTGTGTTGTTGTGCTGTAAAATTCCACTGTACAGTTTACATTTACTGTCGAGAACAAACATCGAGTTTGCCACAGGTAAGCTACACTCCTCTACCCACAGGCTAAACTAATCTTCGGGTACATGGAGTTGGATCGGCGACTCTTGCTGGCTCACTGCGCCGCCCACACCCTGTCCGTTATCGCTGGGCTCTTGGTGGTCGTGCCGCTCGCCCTCAACGGATCTGCTTTCAAGGGGAGGTGCGCGCTGTTTAGTCAAGGCTTCTGGAGGACGGAGAACCTCACGGTGGGCGAAGGAGAGTCCAAAGCGGTCACTCATCTGGTGGTGCAACAATGGGGTCCACTGGCCGCCTGCCAGTTTGCCACATTTGTCGGTGTGTTTACGGTGCTGTATGGCGCAGTCCAGGGCTGGAGGAGCCTGTTCTACCTCACTCGACGGCATGACGAGTGAGTGATAATGTGACTTACAGAAAATAAAATAATGATAAAAAACATTATATGATAAAATTACATATCTACATAAAAGTAGAAACTTGATTTGGCATGTCTATCAAAAATAAATGCAACTATATATTGTTATATCTGAGCAAAAAAAACAAAAAAACAATCAATATATATTTAAATTATTAACTAAATAAAATTAAATTAGCTATATACATTTAATATATTTGTGTATAAATAATATTAAATTAACTTATTAAAATGCTTTTTAATGAACACATACACAAGTAATTATACTTATTTTAAAAATGTATTATTATTATTATTATAGGAACGTCTGTCTGTGTCTGTCTTTTAATCGAATATCTCTCGAACCGACCAATGGATTGAAAAACTTAGCGATTCCTTTTTGAAAAAAAAAAGCAGTGATTCATTTGAAAAGTAGCGATTCACGATTATTTCTGCACACTGAGACTTGCATTAGTATAATATAAATAATATATAGTTTAAAATATAATGAGTATAAAACAAAACTTGCAATTATAATATTTAAAATTATGCCTTATACATATCAGAAACTAAACTGTTATTCATAGGTTTTTATTTTCCCTTTTTTTCTTGCAGCACGCTGTTCTCTGCCTTCCTCACACTGCTGTTGAGTCTATGTGTGCTGTTCCTCTCTGGTGGGGCCAGTGTCACCCTCACCCTGGGTCTGGTGTCCTGGTGCAACACTGTTACGGATGACAACACCAGACCCTACAGGTACAGCATGTCTTGAATCTGCAAGCTAATGTCAAGTTTGCACATGTAATATTCAACAGCATTATTGATCTGCCTGCAATGACATGAGAACTGAACTGAGCTGGATGATGACATCATGGTTTTCTCCAGAGCAGCTTTAAATTAACTAAATAAATTAATAACTTTTTTACAACAAAAATGAGCATTCATTGAACTTACTTAAGCTGGACTATGATGTGATTTTCTTCTAGAAACAAACTTTGTTCCATTATTTTCTTGCTGTCACTGTAAAGCTGCTTTGAAACTATCTGTATTATTAAAAGCACTATATAAATAAAGTTGACCTGACTTTTGACTTGGACTAAATGACATAATGTTACATAGTGAAAACTACATAACGTTAGATAGTGAAATATTCACTGATTCTCTTTCTCTGCAGTTGTGCTGAGTCACAGTCTGTTCCTCTATATCTGGATGTTGAGACATCCTCGTTTTACTCTGAGCTCAATTGTGCGCAGGTAAAGAAGTAATTGAATGCAAGTGACTTGTATTTCGGTCTGAGATCACAGTTCAACATAATATGCATATTTTACATGTTAATGCATTATCCTAAATGTGTCTCTCTTTGCAGATCTCTCTGTGGTGTGTAACAACTCTATGGTTGGCTCACTCTATTTTGTCCTTCATGAGGCTCTACCATTCCCACAGTCAGCAGATCAGCAGACCATGTTTATCCAGGGAGAAGGAACTCCTCCTGGGGCAAACTCAAGCAGTGTCTTGTCCCATTCAACATTCGCATCCACACTCGCACCCTCCACACTCTCCCAGTGTTTTTATTTAGTCATACAGTATTCATAGAAGTTGCACTTTGAGGTTGATCTAAGGTCAGTTTTATTGATTGGAAAGAACGAACAAGATTGGTCCAAGATTAGCGTAAAAGGGAAGTAATTTCTAAACTCAAAGTCCCCACAGTTGTCATGCATGTTAATAACCTCAGTCATCTGAATTATCCTGGGTATCATTAGTTATTTTTAAGCACTTGTTGAAAAGTATTTATCATGTAGCTTGTAGTGCTTACATTGAGGTAAAATGTTTTGTGCACTCCCAGTCTTTGCCATAACGGATGTCAAAGGATCCTCAAATAGATATGTGATATATATATATATTGCATTATTAATGCATCACCTTTGCATATACAAGATGTTGTCTAACGTTGTATGTTCAACCATATAATGTGAATTTTATGTGAATGGGAAGGAAGGACTAGCCTGTTGCATGTGCTCAAGTCAGACCCATGCTCTTTTTGTACTGTGAATGTACAGCGTGACTTTTTGCATACCGAATGGTACCGTCGCTCAAGCCAGACATTCTTTTTCTAATCCGATGAAGGTTTTTTAAATGAAGCCGTTTGTGTTGATGCAACCTCCTAGTTCAAAATCCACTTTTGCAATCCAGAGACGGATAAGCTGGAAAAAACATGAGAAGGAATGTCAAGAATGTTGCTCATCCTTTTTGAATTGTGAATGTGAACCTTTGACCTGGAGGACTGTTGTGAAACACAAACGGCTGAGTAAGAAACAGGATGGAGATGAGTGAGAAATGTTTATTTATGGTTTGGAAATGCGATTATTTTTGATGTGTGTTTTATACTGCTGTTTGTATCCAGAATGTCCTATTTATAAGCTCTTTTCACTTGAGTAAAGGTAATACAACATGGTGTTTTGATATTAAGTCAATTTTGTATAACAAAAAAGTTTAAAATAAACTATATTGAAAATCATTTGAAGAAAATAATAATAATTGAGAAATCAAACTAAAAGAAAATTATATTTATCAAAAATTATTCAAAGTTGATACTTAACTATACAAAATATTCAATGTTTCAATAGACCACATAGCCTTAGAAATAGTACAATGTTCAATCATATAATTGTGGTAATATTGCAATATAATTCGTTTTAAAATGTTAATACTTACGGACAAAAAACCTTGTCCATGTACACATAAAAATAACAAAAAATTATATTTTTCAAAACCCTGAAAACAGTGTGACATTCAAATAAACAGTTAATAGTAATTAACAGTAATTACAATTATTTTTCATTAAAGTGCACACACTGACCATATAATAACAGAATAATTAAAAATTTAAAGCTGCACTTTACTATAATTAGTCATTAATTTTATCAACATCAATATATAATCTTTTATTTTATTATATTACAAAACCATTTAATATAAGGCCTTGTTTCCTCCCTGTCATAGTTGTCAGTAAAATGGTAAATACTGTAATTATTACTTCATTAATAGTTCTTTAAAAACAGATAAATGGCTCAGCAGTTAAGGAAGGGTTACTATTGCTCAGAATGCTTTTTCCTCAATACTGTTTGCACCTGTTATGTTACACATCCTTGGGAATCTCAGACAGCTGATTCAACTTCTCTCTCTCTTTCATCACAGTCCCTTGTTGTAAGTCAGCACCTTGCAATCTGTTGCCATGGCAATTTCCGGCTCAAGGTGAGATGCCTCGATCTGTGAGGAGCAAAGAATGATTAGCAAGCAATTCCCTGCTAAAACATTTATTATTCAGAGCACACACACAAAGATTAATGGCAAGAGGTCGACAGACAAAATGAAACCCGCTGCAGCAATTGTGTTGAAGGGATGCAGGTGTTGCTGCAGTACCTCTGACATCTGAGGGAAGAGGCTGATGGCCAGTGGCAAGGACAGGCCAAAGACAGCCAGACACACTAAACTGTGCACAGGCAGCATCATCCTGCGATGGGCCTGCATCAGGGGAAGCCTGGTGGAGGACAGTGAAAACACACTCTCATGACTCAATTAAACAATTATTTCATGATAACATAATTACTATTACAATAATATGTATTATAATTCATTACAATTCATTCCTGTTCAGAGTTTAATTTAAATGCAAGTCATTTCATACTTTTCCAAGAAGGCCATTATGATTGGTGGAAGGACAAAGATTGGCAGCGGTAGAGCTACACGCGTCAGAGCCGTCTCTATGAGTGCCTGATTAAAAATGCATAATTAAAAAAAAAAAAAAAAGATTACTTTTGAAAATGTATGTAACAGTGCAAAATGGTTTATAAGATTAAAAATATGTCTATAATATATATACTAATAGCTACATAATATATAATAAGATTTGAAAATAAAACAACGTAAAAAAAAAAAAAAACGCATTCAAGGCAAAAGTACCACCAACATATGAAAGTGGGGTGTCCCAACTGTATAACTAACATACGCACATGTTTGGCAGCTATCCGTGAGGATCCCACTACATTCCCGTTGCTGTCCAACACATCTATTCCCTCAGACAGCTCATTGTGTCTCATTAGAGCCACGTTACAGATGTTCGCACTGGCTGAGAAGTAAAACATACAAAAATCTTAATGATGACCATCCATGCTAAACAAAACCATGACATCCGATTTCTGTGAAAGGAGAATTGTTCATCTTTGCACTGGTGAAAATAATATGATATAATCTCCATTTGTCTGTTATTCGGCAATGTACTTTGTACTTGATTAAATATACACTACCGTTTTTTGGTGGAAATAATTTAGGCTAATACTTTTTTCCAGAAAGGAAGTGTTAAATTGATTAAAAGTAACAATATAAAGAGATAAATTATATTTCAATTAAATGCTGTTTTGAACTTTCTATTGATTAAAGAATCATTAAACAAATTATCACAGTTTACACTAAAATGTTAAGGAGCACAACTGTTTTCAGCACTGATAATAATAATAATAATAATAATAATAAGAAGAAGAAATGTTGAGTAGCAAATCAGCATATTAGAGGGATTTCTGAATGATCATGTGACACTACAGCCTGGAGTAATTGCTACTGGAAAACAGTTGTTTAACTTTGTAATACACTCATAACTATTTTTTACTGTATTTTTGACAAAATAAATGCAGCTTTGATGAGCATAAAATACCTCTTTCAAAAACATCATATAACTTACAAACCTCAAAATATGTGTGTCATGCTTTCTTACTGACAGCAGGGGGAGCTCAGTGTAGTGTATTTATAAGGACATACCTACAGCAGGGAAGGGGATAAACCTCTGTATCAACAGTCTGGTGGCAGGGTTAAATTTGCTGGATTTCTGGATAAGTACATTCAGACCCACCTACAAGAAAGAATATTACAGGAGAATTTAAATGTCATTTGCATGTGAAACTGTACAACGGTTATCAAGATGTTATGGTATACTAGAACATTACTACCACTGAGGGGTATTAGCTATTTTTACATAATCATAAATTAATTTTCTAATATAAAATATTATTTTCATAGGCTATTTATTTCATATAAGGGTAAACATTTATACACAGCTCATTTAGAGGTTACTTCACAGTAAATTTACATCGTAAATCACACATAAAATGAATCTCAGACAAAACTTGCACATCATTTACGTACTGCAATTGAAACGGCACTGGTGACGGCTCCCAGGTATCCCTGAAAAAACTTTGAGGTTGGAGTTGGCTAAAGATGACATTGGGGAAAAGAAAACAATCATCAACATTCAGATTCAGCAAATGTCCCACAGAAAGCTGTGCACTGAAAAAAAAAAAATGCAGAACAGCAACAGACGCCTGGCCCTCAGGACACAACAATGATCATTCAAATGGAATCGAGAAGAAGAAACGCTTCACTGAATGACCATCTGCAAAGGCATTGCAATAGTTAGACCTCAAAAACCTGACCTGAATTACAAGACCGTGTCAAACCGTACCTTTGTGGCATTGCGGTTGGCGAAGTTCACGCAGGCATTGTGACTCTGGTTGAGCCACTGTAAGAGAGAAATTTGGGGTTAGCTTGACATTTAAACTATTGGTTGATGAAAATGTTTTACTTTCTCTGAAATATATAAAGGAAATCGGATTAGCTAGGACTACTTTAGACTAATTACGTATTTCTGTGAAACAGTAGCTGCTGGGATACTGATGATGATGCAGAGGCAGCTTTTATGTTTCCTGGCATTGAGAGGCTCAAATGATGGGAACAAGCCACTTTACCTGCCAGAACACAGTCGAGGCCAAAGTCTGGTTTGGAAGGAGGAGACCAACAACCTGCAAGAGAATAAGTTAAGGATAATTTAACAATTCATGTTAACAATTGAACTAGCAACCGACGCCATGGCATACTGCCATAGGCTGGTTAATAATTTACACCAAAGGTTTATTACAGACTTTAGAAACTCAATATATTGCAACACCTCTCATGCTTTGGATGGATTTGATTGTGTCAACACTTGCACAAGAATGATGATTGGCTTCTCTATATGTGTGGTCTTTATGCACTTTGATCGTTTTTTTTACAAGCAAACTGAAGACTTACGATTGGCGTTCCAAACGGGACATAGCCTGTGAAATGCATCCATAAGAAAAAGAGCAACAACAAATCAGATCAGAGTAAAATAACCTGACTTAATTAAAAAAAAATATTACTTTAATTTTAAATTTATTATGGTGCAGTTGTATTATGGTGTAAGTTGTAATATAGGCAATCACTGTTGCACACATGCTACATCTATAATGGTTATACATCTTAACTGATGGTTACAGTCAAACTAGGTTTTCTACTACAATGGAGGAGGTGACAATGTGTTGAAATTTAAAATAACTTTTTATTTAATATACATTTTAAAGGAGTAGTTCACTTTTTAAAAAAACTTTTGATGATCATTCACTCACCCCCATGTCATCCAAGATGTCCATGTATTTCTTAATTCAGTTGAAAAGAAATTAAGGTTTTTGATGAAAACATTCCAGGATTTTCTCCATATAATGGACTTCAATGGGAACCAAACGGTTCAAGGTCCAAATGAGAGTTTCAGTGCAGCTTCAAAGGGCTTTAAACGACACCAGACGATGAATAAGGGTCTTATCTAGCGAAATGTTCGCTCATTTCAAAAATAAATAAAAAAAAGTTTAAGTTTTAAAAGCACAAATGCTCGCCTTGCTCTGTTCTGTGATGAGCGTTTGTGACTCCTGTTCAAACTTGTTCTTCAAAATGAACAAATCTTTTTTCGAGTTATGACTCGAAGGGTCCTAGATAAGACCCTTATTCATCGTCTAGTGTCGTTTAAAGCCCTTTGAACCTGTACTGAAACTCTCATTTGGACTTTGAACCGTTTGGTTCCCATTGAAGTCCATTATATGGAGAAAATCCTGGAATGTTTTCATCAAAAACCTTAATTTCTTTTCGACTGAAAAATATCTTAGATGATATGGGGGTGAGTAAATTATCAGCAAAAGTTTTTTTTTTTTAAAGTGAACTACTCCTATAAGATTAAATGTATTCCAAAGCTGATTTTTTTAGCATCATTACTTCAGTCTTCTGTGTCACATGATCTTCAGAAATGGTACTAATATGCTGATTTGGTGCTTAGGAAACATTTATTATTATCATCAATGTTGAAAACAGTTGTGCTGCTTAAAAACTGTGATATTTGTTGGATGAATAGACCATTCAAAAGAACAGCACTTATTTTAAATAGAATTTATTTTTAGAAATGCAAGGCACAGTAAAGGATTTCAATTCCCTGGACTCCTCATATGCTCTTACCTGACATGCGGAAAGGCATAAATATCTTTTCACCGGTGTCGGGATGAATGATGGCCTGAAAGTAGATGAGTCAGTGCCTGTCATTTTAAACATCATTGAAAAGTGAAAGTGAGCAATGAGCACAAGTCTCACCTGCTTTACCTTCTGAGCCTCCCAGAGCTGAACACAGAACACAAGCAGTTATAAAACACTGCACCACATATGGGCCAGGCCAACTACATGCGTTAACCGACTTCACCTGGTGATCTGTTATTCCTGAAGGAAGATTCCCTTGCTTGAAATCATCCAGGAGTTTGATACATTCTTTTAAACGACTCTATAGAGATGAAAGAGAAATCCGAAAGGTATATGACCGTAGACTTATCCAGAATTATTCATTAGTTGATAAGAATCAGCATTCATTCTTCTTAGCCGTGACTAGGGCTGCAACAAACGATTATTTTGATAATCGATTAATCTAACGATTATTCGAACGATTAATCGTCAATTATTTTGCCGGCTAATCAGTAAGTTTGGAACGGTTATTTAGCTTTTTCAATTAGTTAAAACATTGAGTCATACATACTCTTACTATAATATGAAAAAAGAAAATCAGTTCAGGTTTTGAAATAGATGTTTTAATGAACTTTGAGCCAACTAAACAGGTCATTCTCTTTAAGTTTTCAGATTTCAGTCCAACTCAAATCACATACAAATGCTCTCTAAGCATTGTTTAATAGCCACACTGCTTTTTGCATTTGGGTTGCATTACACTCTAGCGCCACAGCGCCGTAGCGGTCAAATCGCGATATTGCATGCCCTTATAACAGGTCGACGACAATTTTTTTATTGTCGACGTTGTCAACAATGTCGACTAATCGTTTCAGCCCTAGCCATGACTTAATTACAGTATATTTTATAGAAAAACGAAAAGTTCAACGCAACTCATTGTTTTATTCACCTCAATTACAATAACATAGAAAAGATTCCCATACCTCTGTCACAAACAAAGTTGAAGGATCAATGATGTCAATGAAATGTCTCAACCTGCCAAGAAATGTGCTCTGAAGAAGAAAAACATTACTTTAGTTTAACAAACTTACACTGTCAGCCAGAACTTATAAAGAAAAGATGCAAACAGGACAACCTGCTGACAGCACAAAGCGAAGAATGATTAAAATGGTCTGCTTTTGTGCCATAAATTGTCAAGAGACTGTATTCTAATTTTAGTTTAGAGTTAGACTGAAATATCTAAGGGATGTAATGACAATGCACTGGCATTTTGTGCGGAGCGACGACTGCCTACATCAACATTCCCACTGCTTCTGAACCCCGGAGAGCAATGCAAGCGCTTTTCTGAGAGCCAACTGTTTCAGAGGCCCGATGGTTGAGCATGCCAAGGGTTTATTTGGCAAAGAACAGAGTAAAAAAAAAGGAAGCCTCAATCAACTGCTCCTACATGAGAAAACAGCTCCTGTGTGGCTCATCTCACTAGCTGAAATCCATTTTATCTTGCAATATAAGGCGAAGAGAGCAAAAAAACTGCTGATCTGAATGGACTTGGATATAACGTTATTTCTGGGTTACAGACACTTGCTTCAAAGCGGTTGCGGAGAGCTATGCGAGCGCATGTGTGCTGGAGAAGACTTGTTAATTATGCATGTGATTCTGCTCCCCAGAGAATATGCAACACAGTTAGCAGAGATGGAGCAGGCAGAAAACATACACCCATATCCTTCAGCTGCATTGATTTCACCTAAAGGCAGCAGAAATAAAAAAGATAACTGTGCATTAATGCGCTTGTGCTCATCTCAAAAATCAATTAGATTGTGATCCAATCTTAGCAGAGAGTGATGAAAGGCACAGATATAATGAATACTCAGTGGAGCTTTCTTAGGCAAAAGAATGCATATTACCATACGTATTTTCAGAGCTTTTGTTTTAGAAGTATTCCCTGAAGACCCAAAGCAGACTCATTTGGACAGCATATGCCATGATAATCAGATGAAACAAATGATTACACTAAAATAAACACTGACCAGAATATTTTATTGAGATGCATTCAGAAACAACATATATAACCGGGAGACTAACAAAGGAAAGGCAAATTATACCATACCATCCTGCCCTTTATTAAATGCAATGTGAAAGAAAGGTTTTTCTAGATTAATAGCAGTGCAGTCATCTTACTAAACTGTTTTTAATACAAACTATTTGTACTGTAATGCACACTGTAATGGGCAGTGGGTCTAAATGCAAGAAAACAGTTGTATAATGTACTACTGCAAAACACATGTGATTTCAGAAATAATCAACTAATATTTGTATCCTGTTTAAAAAAAGCGAAATCATTTTTGCACCATACTTGCATCACTGTTTTTGCAAGCAAAGGAGATAATGTGCAGGTAGATGTGGGTGATTGTCTCTACTAAATGTTTACAATTTGATACATTTATAACATTTATGGGGGACACTTAATATTCAACAATATTATTGATCTGACTGTACTGATGCTGTTCTATGAGAACTGAACTGAGCTAGATGATTACTTTTTTTGCTTTGTTTTGTTGAAGAACTACTTTATATAATATTTTAATATGATCTTTCGAACAGAACTGAATCAACCAACTTCATGCATCATTTTCCTGTTATCACTGTAAAGCTGCTTCCAAACTCTCTGAAGCACTTTATAAATAAAGGTGACGACTTGACATTTATAATATATAGAAATTAATTCAAAATCAATAAGGAATTCAAGCTATTAGTCTAATAATAGAGAGATAGGCTATTAGAAAATAACTTGATTTGTTAAAAAACAACCTGAATCTACTATAATTCTGCATTAGCATATTTTATTTTAAGTCTTATTGAAACTTCCATCAAAAACTGAGCATGATTATCCAGAATGGACATCAGAAACAACTATTAAAATATTATCATAAACTATTTTTTGATTGTTTATATCATTTATGGCAGTATTCACAGTTTACATAAACTGGTCATATTCCTTACTCCGTGGAACACAATTTGGGTCTGAACGGGTTAATTAGGATGACCGTTTCCATGGAGGCAACAGGACTTAAATAGATGGTCATTCATTTGACCGACACGAGCGCGTGAGATTTCGCAAATAATACAATTGATGAGACGATTATTTGTAATCGTTTTGCAAAACATGCTCCATTATTAAAAGGCAAAACTTGAAAGTCTGAGTTCATCCGGTCCGGTGTATAATTACATATGTTTTAGAAAGAAAATTAAACAGGGAGGAGAGGCATTTTCCCCCCAGCTTTCAAGAAAAAATTGTGAACTTTAATAATGTTCCGCGAAATCACTCCCACGTAATGCAAAAATAAAAGTGATTAGTGAATTTGTATTCAACCGCGTTTTAAAAACAAAACAATCTTCCCCTAGTCAATTTCTGTTTTGTTTGCAAATAAAAAGACACGCTATTGGGCATGCATCTGACATCTGTTTAAGGGTTTCATTATAACGGTGCAAAAACCAGTTTCGCTCATCACGAACAACTGCATTGGCCAACAATATAGCAATGATGCCATGGACAAAAGGCAAAACGCACAAAAAAGCGCGAGGAACGGGCGACTTTCGCAGTACAGTGTTGGAGCAATGCAAAGGTATCTGCAAACGCCCATCAAATTTCACCAGACAAAGATGCACTTTGAGATAGCGACAAACTCTTTACCTGCTCGTAACGCGGTTTTCCCAGCTGAAACACCGGGCAAGACGCAGATTCCGCCATCTCAGCAGCGGTGGAGTGATGTTAAATAATAAAAATGTCCATGAGTCAGAATTTGTAAGAATAGTCAACTCGGGTACGAAACTAGTGAAGCAATAGCTCGCAGGGGTTCATGGGAAGGGTAGTTTCCTGTTGAACTCAGGACAAAGCAGATAGAGCGCATTATTATGGCAAAAGTCTGACATATTTACATCACAATGTTCAATCAAAAATTTTCACAGCATTTTAAACAATCTCCTGGCTTCTGAGAACTTTGAAGTTGGGCAAAATAATTTGCATATCTAGAAAAATAGCTACAGTTTAACAAAATAGACCTTAAGTTGTTAATACTGTAAGCAGGCACACAAATTATTAAATTAATGATTCTGAAAAATTATTTTTAATAATTAAATAAATTAATCATAAAAATGTATATCTCTTGAATAGTTTTTTACCATACAAAAGATACAATTTGGAAACAATAATAAATGGTGCCACCTGGCTGACAGCATTAAAGATAAGAGTGTGGTTGGTTGGGACAGTGCATGTAATAGAATAATTAATCATTCAGAGGAGATCTAATGAATTATCTCCAAATGTCATGCATGCTGTGTTTATATTACAGAGCCACAAACACCATTTAATGTTTTGTGGGGAGAAATGTACTCAATATGTAACAATATTCAAATGATTCTTAAAATATTATATATTTTTTTTCCAACCCCAGCCCTAGATATTAGAATTTTAAAAAGGTTTTTTAACCCCAGTTAACTGATATAAAACAGTATTGAATAGTTACATATAATCATAATAATTTTATACATTCAAGAGATTCATGGTTCATATACTTTACATTTTAACCAAACATTTAATCTTCAGACAAATCTGTGTTGAATGATATACAATTTAAAATAAAAATTTTTATAATTAATATTTGTTGTTTCCTTCTTAAATAGTAAAGCCTTTTAACTCTTTGCCAATCAAATGTCATAACTACAAACAGGGTATATATATATATATATATATATATATATATATATATAGGGACATGAAATGTATTTTTTGTTGTTGCACCTTAGTTGGGTTATCTTCATGTTTGTCCCATCACCAGAGATAATTGTCCCAAACCAGGAAGGTAAACTTCAGTTTCCACTATTCCTGTAGGAATTGTTATGATCAAATTTGCCTTACTGTGACATGTTAAAAGCTCAAAGAACAATGCAAGCAGATACACTGTCAGTTTAAACTTGGATTCCCACAACATTAATATTTTATGATACCCATCTGCACACATTTTTATGAGAAATGCTGCTGTGAGAAATCAGGTAACTGTAAAACTTTTTCTATGTAAAATCCATAATAATGTACTTTTTACTATAAAAGGCTGTTTTAATGTAGGCCTAATATAAAAAAAGGAAAAAAGGGATAGTTCACTCAAAAATGTAAATTCTGTCATCATTTACTCACCCTTATGTTGTACCAATAATGTAATGCGAGTTTCTTTCTTCCGTTGAACAATGATATTTTAAAGAATGTTGGTACAATGTCCTGTACATACGGAAGTGTATTGCATTCACTTGTTTTTCTGAATTAACTCAGAATTACGAGTTAATTATCTCAGAATTACGAGATCATTTTTCATGGAAAAGTTTTTGCTCTGTTTTTCTGAATTAATGACTTGATTATCTCAAAAACTCAGAAATTCAGAAAAACAGAGCAAAAACTTTTTTTCCATGAAAAATTCTCATAATTGTGAGAATTAACTCGTTAATTCAGAAAAAAACAGAGCAAAAACTTACTTTTCCATGAAAAAAAAAATCTCTTAATTCTGAGATAATTAACTCGTTAATTCATAAAAATTCAGAGTAGATTTTGTTTTCTCAAGTGAATGCAAAACGCTTCCGTACATACAGGTTTGGGCAACATAAGGATAGTTAAATGATGACAATTTTCATTTTTGGTTGAACAATCCCTTTCAGCACAAAGTACAATAAATCATCTTCAAAGCGCAGTAGTGCCACCCAGTGGCAATCAAATAAAGCACCACCGTGATAGTTGAAGTGACGTGGAAGTGAGTGCGCATCGTCGGCCCAAGTAGAACCATTGCCACGAATGGTCTACTCTCTACAATCAACTTAGCTCTCGATGCTTTTGAGAAACCCTGAAGATTAAGCTTAAATCTCTTAGACATAATGGTATTTACATGTCTCTTCCATAAAGAACTCAAACCAAAAGACACCAAATGATTTTATAACTTTATTTTCAAATAACTTTGAAAATGAAGCTGTTTGAAATAATTAGCAATAAATAAAATAAGAAATTACAAATGTGAATGTTGTAAAAAAAAAAAAGAAAAATCCAGAGGCACATTGCAATATGGTGTTCAAAAAGAAAAATGAAGAGTCACAGTGCAACATGTTTTTTCCTCAAACACACAGGGGAACACTGAGGGCTGTATAACTAGAACTAAAAATGTTTATTTTCCTTGATACAAATACAAATTTGATTGCAGCGAGTCAACAAAATCAACTGCAGCCCTGTACTTTCTTTATATCCAATACTGAGACATAGAACTGATGATCTTGTGTGACAAAACCTCATAGTTTTCATCAGAAGAATAAATGAGGAAACACTGAATACGGAATAAAAATCTCACACTTTAACCTTAAAAACGGAACAAAAACAATGGTATAAGACACCACCGGAATATATATTTGAAAAAAGCCACAACAACACAATGAAATTACAATGCAATACAACATAAACAGATCTTTTTTTTAACTTAAAAATAAACATTGCTTTTGTGGTTTAGAAAGCTTATGCATTTGCATATCACTAAATTTGCTACTTTAGCGATGATCAAAGTATTCAGCAGTGCTAAGGCTTCATGAATATATTTTGTGGCGCATATATCAACTTAAGCTACAGCTTAGCAGTTTGTTTTATTGCATAGCGTACATGTTTGCAGAAACAATCTCTGCTTTTGTGCTTGATGGAAGTGAGCATGCACTGATATCAGCGGCTTCAGTGTGGCAAAGTCGACTGGCTCAAGCACAACGGTTTTCCATAATGCGCATTAAGGTGCTTTTAAAGCTATCAAGAAGTAACATTTATTTACAAGTACAGAATATTTTGAAAGAAATATTTTACATCAACTTTGACACAAGGTGTATTAGGCTACATATGTATTAAATACGACTAATGTTTTTAAATCTCTTGATTCATACTGAACAGTGTAATATATTCGTTTCAATACAATGGGTAGTCAAATAAACAATATTTTCTCGAGATTTGGAAATGTTTGGAGGACTGAAAGATAGATAAGAAATTTCAGTTTTTTAGTATAATTTTATTATTCTATTTTACTTCAAATTATGGGTGTTAAAGTGATATTTAAATAAGTCAGTGTTTCTTTTAGATTCATAACTTTCGTGAGATATTTTTTTATGTTTAATATGTATAACATTTTGGTATACCGATGCGTAAAGATCCCAGATCTTATTATTCCTTATGATGGAAATTAGCATATTCATGAACAGGAAGACATTTAATATTGCAGATCCTTTTTTTTTTTTACTTTAAACCACTGTCTTGTGCTCATATAATGACTAGTAGTATGCTAAACGTCAATGACTGTGGATTTGGAAGTCCAGTAAAAAGCATGCAAAGCTTTATCGTGTCTAAGTGAATCTGGCAGTTTTGAAATTTAATGGAGCATCACAAATGGCTTTAGATCAATAGTGTTTTCAGAACGGAGCGGGTCACCGTAGTCATTTTGGTCTTGCGCGTACCTGCAGCAGGGTGGGTGTCTGTTCCATAATGCGCACCAGCAGCTTGTCAATGTAGTCCTCCAGGTCTCTGACCTGAACCTTCATCTTCTTCAGTTCGGCCTCACGTTTCTCCAATAATGCCTCCTGCACCTCAGTTGCAGCTCGCTGCTTCTTGACGTCCATTTCCTGCTGAAGCAGCAGAGCTATCAGCTCCATGTTGGTCATGTTCTGATACTGAGCCCGGGCCTCAATCAAAGCCAGCTGCACAGGAAACAGAAACACAGACATGTTTACGAGAGAAAGACAGTAATGTTATGTAGCATAATGAACTAAAACTACTTGTGAAACTAAGTGTTTCAGCTGGTTTTCGATCACTTGTGTGTTCTTTCATTATCTTCACAGTGCACTCAGTACAATCCATTTTACAATATACTGAGAACCTAGATAAAAAAGCAAAAATTGATCTGCGAGGTTGAGTAGAAGAGACATCTTGTGTGTTTGTAGATACTATTAAGGCATCTAATAATAGGTTACTGGTTTAACCTTGTTTGGTTAAAGCACCTTTACTTCATGAAACTTTCAGTACCTGGTTTTGCTCATCCTCAGCAGTGGTTACTGGTGCAGATCTTCCAGGGTTAATGGTGGACTTGAGTTTTTCCAGAACTGAGCGGCTTTCAGGTTTCTTCTCTCCCTGCACAGTCGTGTTTGTCAAGGGCTTCACTGGGTGAGGGCTGTGCAGCGGTGCAAAAAGGAGATAAATTAAGTATTTATGTAGACCTAAGGTCTTCAGCATGGTTTAACCAGTCTGTTGACATTTTGTACTTTCAGCTACTTTTCTAAATCTCATGTTTTTTGGTTATGCAATTCCTGGTGAGTTAGTGAGTATAGCACAAGCAATAGCGAATAGTTGAAGAAGTAATGGTTAAAAGTAACATATACTTTAGACAAAAACTTTTCCAATGACAAACGTTCCAGAATCATGTGCCAACTGTGCAAAATATCATGCTATCTTTAAAAAAAAAATGACAGGAGCTGATTGTTGTAAAATCATGTTAGCAATGCAATTTTTTTTAACAATTTCATCACTCAGAGTTGCTGTGTCATAAAAAAACTGAGATCATTAGGGTTAGTTCACCCAAAAACGAAAATTCTGTCAGTATTTATTTACCCTCATGTTGTTCCAAACATGTGTTTGTGTTCTGCTATACACAAAGGAAGATATTTGGAAGAATGTTTTAATCAAACAGATCTCATTCCCCATTGACTATCATAGGAAAAAATACATACTATGGTAGTCAATGGGGAATGAGATCTGTTTGATTAAAACATTCTTCCAAATATCTTCCTTTGTGTTCAGCAGAACAAATAAACACATAGAGGTTTGGAACAACACGAGGGTGAGTAAATACTGACAGAATTTTCATTTTTGGGTGAACTAACCCTTTAAGCACAACTTGTTTGGAGAGTTAATTAAAAAAAGGAGTTAGAGTTAAAAATCCTTTTTCGTAAATTGAAATTAACATGGAATAAATCACAATATAAAATATTAGATGAAAAACTTCAACTTATTTTGTTTTAGATAGTTGCCAAAATAGCATTTTTAATTTTTAAGTTTTATAAGTACTAAAATTACTAAAGCCAGATTTTAAATAAATAAATAAAGCTATATAGATTTTGAATAAAATGCGCACTAATACAAATACAAAAGCACTAACAAAAATCACTAAAACTTGATTTAAAACTAAAACTGAAAAAATATCAAATATTTCCTAAAAGTCACATCTTGGCAAATGAGCACTAAGACTTTGTTGAGGTCATTTCTAAAAGGTGACGTGAGATTACTGAATTTCAGTAGAACTAGATTTTCGTAGAAGATTTTTAGAAGTGTAAGAAAAAAAGGAGTCAAGGAGAAGATATTTAAGATGATTTCTCATTTACAATACTGACAAACTAAAAAACAATGATACTAGAGTAAACATCTCACATCAAACCTCTCATAAACACTTGATGCAAACAATACAACACTGTCACATATACTATTTTTATGGTAAGTTTAGTTTCCTCTACAAGGAAAGATGTGTTGCGGTGTGTCTACCAAAACAGAGTGAAGACTGAATAAAGCAACAGAAAAGATGAAAAATGAAATAACTAAGGTAACACAGCATGGAGCAAACCAGGAGGAAACATAATAAGAGATGGTGCACATTTGTCAAAGTCCAAATTATAGCAAGCTGTGAGTGCAAAAACAAAGTTTGTTCTAGGCCAACATATGTGAGAGCATTTATGAGCCTGTCCTAGTGCAACTGAGAGAGAATGAATTCATTTCTCAGGTGAGAGCAGAGGTGAGTGCACTTTTAAAGGCAGTGAGGTCTCACCTGCTCTCCTCATGGGGCAGGAGGACGTTTGCTGGCTGTGTCTCCTCAGGTGAGAGGGAGAGCGGTGCATCAACGTGGGACTGGGCTGTGTAGGAGCATGTGGAACTCATGCTGGGCATCTCGTTTGGGGGCTTTGCCGGAAGGGAAGGGTCAAGGCGGAGACAGGAATTAGTACCAGCTAATGGGGTGGGTGAAGAGGAAAGATCATGCAAAATGAGGTCTGATGCAGGATTATTAGAGCCTGGGATCGAGTCAGCACAGGAGACAGTTTTGGGTGAGCTTGTGGTTGAGTGTGGTCTGATGCGGGCTGATCTGACTTCTGTTGAATAGGGGCTTCTGGAATTTCTTGGAGCTACTCTAGCATGCAAGTCCTCAAAGCTGATTTGTTCATCCAACGTGACCTCGTTTTTCTTTGAGAAGCAGACTTCAGAGTTTAGGTTACCTTCTGTTAAATTAACAGTAGGCTCATTAGGCGTAGTGAGTAAGATGCAACTGTCTTCCACCATCTCTGGTTGGATTTGAGTTGTCACAGTGCTGGAGAATGTTTGAGTGATCACAGTGATGTCGTTTCTGAGGAGAACATCAGCCACGTCTTGAGAGTCACAGTTACACTTTGAAGCGGTGTTCTGGTGTTCACAGGGGTCGGTTTTTTGTCCTTCCAGTCCTTCACGAGATCTCTCAAAAGGTGATGAGCAATGGTTATGGTTTTGCGAGTCAGACAAATGTGTTGTGTTATCATTAGGAGTGTTCCTTGGTGAAAACATCTTCAACTCAGATGCCATTCTGGATGATATATCCTCAGGTAAGCCAGAGTGCAAATGTGAAGAAACCTTGGATGCTTCAACTTCTTTATTCATTTCAAAAGGTGGTTGCAAGTCCGAATGTGAACTTTCAGAATCAATGAAAGCAAACTCAGAAGTAATATCTGTATTGTTGTTCGAATCTCTAGGGGAGAGGGTCAACAAACCAATGCCATTGGTTTTAGTCTGTAGTTGTTGCTCATTGGAGACCTTTACTTCACAGGACAATTCTGAATCGTGTTTGAGTTGGGTCTGAGGTGAACTGCAAAGTGATTCCGTCACTGTGGTTTCCCAATCAGACGGAAAACAAAGTGTTTCAGGTACCGTGTTCTCGCATTCAGAGCTTCCAAGTGCATCTTCACCGAAACCATTTGGAGAGCCACAAGCATTGTTTGTAGGGAAATCTTGCCCTGTAGCTTCCTCAAACATGAATTGGTTCAGTTTGATATCACTGTTCAACTCTGCTTCCATCTTGTTATACCCTACTGAAGAAATGTGATGCAACTCTTTATCTGCACATACAATCTGAGAGCTCCTCTTCAAGTCTCTGTCTCTCACACGCTGAAGGGAGGCAAAGTCAGTCTGGGAGAGAAAGCAGGCCTCTTTCTGCACAGCCAGCTCCTGGGCTCTCTCTAACCAGCTGTCCATTGTGATCGCTTGGGTTCTCATGGGTTTACGTGGTGGTAGAGGAGGCAGATCCCATGGCTTTGAAATACCCATATCAACTTCGCCAACTCTTAAACCAATCGCTTTATCATTTACAAACACCATCTGGTTTGTATTTGGTTCCTGTGAAAGAAACAGTGCTGATGGAGGTCTTGTTGGAGTTCCACTTGGTGATTTGAGACGGCTTGAGGCAAATGCTTCAAAATCATCCCATTCCCCAGCCCTCTCAGACAGAGAGTGGTTCGGATTAATGTTTGAGTTTGCTTCTGGGTTCTCAAGCATCATGGTCGGAAGAGACCTCTGCCTGGACATACTCCTGGGTCTTTCCCGCTTTATTGCGGACATTTTGTTCGACACTCCATTACGGAGGGGACTGGATCCGACTGGATAATGATAAAGACTGGAATTTAGAGAACAGTAACCAGCAGTCGGAGACGTCAGTGCTTCCTCGGCTATAAGATCCTCAAAAAAAGGGTTTTGCTGTAGTCGCGTGAGGAATGGGTTGGAGGGAGAGATGGAAGGGGGTGTTGGGGAAGAGTGGGTGAATGGGTTGGTGTGATTGCCACTAGGGGGAGACACCAAGCCAGTAGTGCAACTGAGGGGAAGAGAGCATGGGGGCTGACTGGGGAAGAAAGGGATCTGACAGGGGGTGTCTGAGCTGCTCTCTACCTTAGGAGAGACTCCCAGCCTGTGGAGGGAAGGCACAAGTAGTCCTCTTAGTCATAGTGTGTAATGGGCCATTTCATCTAACTATGGGTGAGGGGCGAGAGACAGTTCTTCTCTATTACAGAGACACCTGTTTATAGAAGAAAAACTGTCTTTGGATTCAAATTTGTTTATGTTTTGATGCGGAAGTGTCTGGCATGTTTTGACAAGCTTGCAAACTGTGTTCCAACATAAATACTGTTGGTTTAGCTTGAACAATTGAAAAAGAGCAATAGGGGTGGGAAAAGGTGTTTTCTTTCATCCTAAAATCTTTAATTAGGGGTGGCTGATTTACTCAGTAGACACGATAAACCGGTAGAAATCTGACAGTAAATTTTGGCTTATCAGCCCTATCGCTCATTTGACGTTGCATCTTATCGATTTTAAACCATTTAATCACAATAAGATGCGACATAATTCAAATCGGTATTTGCGTTTTGACAGACGGTTTTCTGTGCGCACACATAAAGCTATCTGGCACACAACATAAGTAATGAATTCAGAACTTTTTCGTGGTTTATTGTGCTTGTCAAAATGTATTTGGGTAAACACAATTGGTTGTGTCTTACGCAAACAAACAATTGAGAGAAAATCAGATTTGTAGGTCTTAAAACACTAACAGCCTTTTGTAATACGCTTGCTGCTGTATGTGTACTTAATGCAGTGTAATATTTCACATTTGATGACTTTCTAATAGAAGAAATACAGAAACTGAATAAAGCTGAACCTAAAAAAAATACTGTTTATTTAATGTGTAGGTTTGCTCTACTGTAGTTATTTGTTAAGTTTTTCTTAGCTCTTATTTTATTACTGACTGTTTACTTGTCTTCAGCAATCTTGAGAACATTTGACTTACATTAGTTATACAAGTTTTGTATATTAGTTTAATATTTTTGTAACAATCTTTCTTCCAGCAAAAATAACTATATATTGAGACATTGTTTGTGAAATAAATTTAGTCCTATTGTGACATAAGATGTGCCATAACACCCACCCCTAACTCTAACTAATAAAAATAAAACGGGATGTTTTGCGAAAAAAAACAACATGCTGCTAAACAAAAATATGAAATTACTGAAAGGTAAAATAAAATAAAATCAATTTAATATAAGAGGACATTTCGTTAAAAAAAAGAAAGAAAAGAGCTGATGATTTTGAATGCTTCAACAAATTTGTGGAACTTGACAATTTTTATGGATGAAAACACACATTAACAAGCCCTTCTTTGAAAAATGTCTTGACCTATGTTTTGCAAACCAAGAGCAATATAAAGGAATGAAATGGAAAAAGCTCCTGCAGTAACTGTTGCATCAGCAAATTTGAAAGGCTCTTTTTTCTAAGAATATTCACCAAAATGAAGGCTGACATTCAAAGCCATTCCCTTAAAAACAAAGTATCCCTTTTGAAGAACGCCTGACAGTCAAATACAGATCATGGCGAGCGGCTATTGATGATATTGATACATGTGCAAAGTCAGACATCTTTTGTACTGTAACATAAAACCTAGTAGCCGTGCTTTCACTCACCTTGGCTTGTTCTGCGAGTCACCGGAGCCAAACCATCCTCTGCGTCTGCCCTCAAGAGGAGCAGAAATCTGGCTCTGCTCCGGCTTGGCTGGGAGAGAGTCACTCCTCCCACTAGAAAACAGAGTTTTCCTCAGCTTTTTCCCTTTATCCACCACTTCCACGGGTCCAGCGGCCTGCACTGGCTTCCCCTCTGGAGTGGCGGCCCCATGGGTCTGACTCTGAGCTCCATCCATCTCCCCGTCCTCCTTCTTGGTCTTTTCAATGGACCAGCGTCTCCCGTCGCTCTTCTGCGAGTCCTCGCCACGTCGGGTCAGGTTCTGGAGAGAGCGGGAAAGGGGTGCGCATTTCTCCAGCAGGGAGAGCTTGGCCGGGATGGTGCTTGGACTCTTGGGGCTTGCAGGCTCGGATGAGTAGATATGGCTACCGTTGATGCAGAGGGTTGATTTGGAGAGCGCCATGCTCTGACCTTTTAGGTTTTCCACAGCAGGGATTAGATGAGGAACACCCGTGATCTTACTGGCTTCATCACTGTGTGCACGCTTGTGGGTCATCACTTTAAAAGACACAAATCACAGAATTTAGATCGGTAGGCGTCCAGCAGACATTTGAGGAGTGTTTGAAAGGGATAGTTCACCCCAAAAGGAAAATTCGGTCTTAATTTACTCACCCCCATGTCGTTCCAAATTTATTTCATCTGTGAAACACAAAAGAAGATATTTAAAGAAAAAGAAAAATAGCTTTATCCACACAATTAAAGTAAACGCTATCTAATGTTGTTTTGAACCTTTATGACAAAAAGATGTTGAAACATTCTTTAAAATATCCTATTTTGATCCATAGAGTATAGAAAATAATATAAGTTTGGAACGACATGAGGGCGAGTAAATTATCATAAACTACTGTATTGGAGGCCATATTATTTAAATGATCAATCATAAATGATTCTGTTTATATATTCTTATAGCTGACTGACCTTTTATCCCTGCTTCAGTGTCCATACGGAAGGGCTCCATCACTCTGCTGCTGTAGACAGGTGTTCTGGAAAGCTCTACTGGGATGAATGGATCCCCAGCGGACGATGCCATGCTACTGTCTGAAGCCAGTGATGAACAGGACCGTGTGTCTGAATTCTTGCGAAGTTTCCCTTTAAAGAAGAAGTCTTTCACCTTGTTTCGGTGTTCATCGAGCACCTCTTCCTCGCCTGGATCATCGGGTCCACCATCTCCTGCAAACGGAGGGCCTACGGACCCTGATATGGCAGCGTAGCGGCCGGGTAAAATGGCAGAGGAGGACTCCATATCTCCTCGCTTTTTTCCTGTGACGCGGTCCTTCAGTTTCCCAAATGCAGAACGAGGCTTGTCCTTTACGGTCAAGTCGTACATACTAGCGGTCATGTTGTTGCGGGTGAACTGGATAGTGACCTGCAGCTCTCCTCGCTCTTTCTCCTTTCGACCAGCCTTGGAGTGTAGCTTGAACCACCTTAAGCATAAAAGAAGAAAAAAAGAAAACCATGATCTAAAAGCTAATTTATATTATCTAATAATGCACACTTTAATGTTTAAAAACACTATTTTAATACAGTTTGCTTTAATAAGTATCTCAAGCAAATGCTGTACATTTTAATGCTTTGATAAATAAATGAACTTGTACAGTATTATTAAAAATGACTGTTTTCAATTATTCAGACAAATATTATAGAATTGTAATACTGGTAATTTATCAGTTATTGATCATTAGATGAAAAACCATATCAGAGAGAATTTTGGTTCTCTGGTTCAATCATCCCTACTTTTCGTATTTTTATATTTATTATAATATTTATTATATATTATTTATATTTTATATTTATTTAATATTTTTCTTATTTTTATATTTTTCTTATTTCTTACTTTTTTGTGATAAACATAAATAAGAATCCCATTAAGGCAGTCAAGAAAATATCCAGATTATATTAAAATTCGAATTAAATAAAAAAAATAAAAATAATAATACTTAAAAAAAAATACAGTAAAAGCTGCAACACTGTGATAAAATAAAAGCAGCCTTGGTGAGCATAAGAGACTTCTTTCAAAAACATTTTTAAAATCTTATGGACCCCAAATGTTTGATCAGTGATAAAAAACCCAACAATTTTGGGCTGAACTTTTACACTTAAAATGATGCTCTCACTGATGGCCTCATCTTTTATAACATTAACTTACAATTTCCTGCACCACACTAAAGCTAACCGCTATGACCTATACAGGAGTGCAAACACAAGCGGGGGGCTCTTGAACGAATGTTGCTGCATTAGGATAGCGCCGTCCCTTTGTCTCACAGAGAACCAGTGGTGAAACTATTTCCTCCATTTCCGCTACACCACAGAGCACCTCATGTGCGCACACGTGCAGAGAGCCAAGACAAACGCCTTGAACCGGGAGACAGCAGAAGAGAGAGAAAAAGAGGGAGAAAGAGGTGCAACTCCGAGCTCAATTAAATCCAGATGTGCAGAACAGCCTCACGCCTACAATGACATGTGGTGATTCAGATTCAGAATAGTGTGTGTAGAGATGGACATTTCCATTTCCATGTGACCTGAAATGCTGAGGCCTACATGGCAGTGCAAACAGTAATTAGAAAATGGAAGTTCGTCAAGATAAATATTGAACGTTGACATGACAAATCCATTTGCTATGTTGTTACTAGACAAATCCAGCCACCTGACCTTAGCAGTGTGATGTTCAAGGTGGTTGCGGTAGAAGATCTTTAAAAACAAAAAAAAGTTGAGGCAGAATGAGTTTAATCAAACTAGAGTTGAGAAACTGATTTAGATTATAGTCGTTATTCTACATTATAGCTCCTACTGTATCTCCTATAGCTCATTTAAATACTTTCAAGTTGTCCTGTGGCTCCCGAAGATGTAAATGGTTGCAAGGACAACAGGCAAAAATTGTTGCAGCATGTTTTGCACAGGCTAAAAAAAAAAAAAAAAAAAAAAAACATGCAAAAAACAAAACAAAAAGTAACATGCTACTGATAAAAATATTATATGTTTATATATTATAAAATTGAATTCAATTACAATTTGGTGCTTACTAACATCTTGAAGGTGTTTTTTTTTAATTAAATCAATTTGTTAGTTGCACATTGTGTGAATTTGAGAGTTGAATGGTGGACGTGAGGATAAAGGATATGTATCGAATGTGAAAATAACTTTGTTATTGTTGCTCAGCATGGCTCAGCGACTTCCTCCCTCACTTGTTTATAGAGTTTTAGTCAAGTGGCCCCCACCTACCTCTCTCCCTCCTCTCCCATGACAAATGATTTACTCCTAATGATGGCACTGCTAGATATGTAGTTCAACTACATCTGCATTAGATGTGGAAGCTTCTAAACAAGATCTTCAAATAAAATGAACATTGAAAAAAGGCCAAGATTCCTGAAAGGTTACGTCTGTCTTGGACTGCAGTGAAACGTGTGTTTGTTGAGCTTCAGTCGGACTCTGTGACCATTCTGACACACACTGGTACTACCCTGTGTGCAGGCATGAGTCTGTGCCAGTACTGGTGAGGACTAGACGCAGCATGCCCCTCCAAGTATGTTGCTGTTATTGTGTCTGTAAAAACATATCCCATTACTCTGGAATTCAAAACAGTGTTGGTTTTGCACTTCCCATAGATTGCTTGTGTGGCTTTGACCACCATGCGTGTGTTTAATATTGCATGTGACATCAGTAGTTTAGGTTAAGTTTTGGTGGCAGGCCAAAGAATCTTCCTGCAGTTTTATTATGTTGCAAATGTGAATGTCTGTCCAACTGGGAAATGGGAGCACAGAAATTCTTCCATCCAAAAATCACAGGCTCACGGTTTTGGCATGACTGTGTCAAATATCCCAGGACTATATCAACTGGAAAACAAGGAAAGCTCTTATGCTTTAAAAGTACATTCAATTACATGAACTTGTAAGGCTAGGATAACTATAAATATAGAACATAAGGCTACACTTTGTTTCTTTTTTATTTATTTTTTTACAATCACTCTTTCATGCTGTCATGTGGGAATGACGGAGAAGCAGTAAAACAACACTAAAAGGTCATGTACCCAAAATCCGTGTAATTATAGTATCATTGAGATAGTTGTTTTTATCAATATTTTGCATTCATTTTTTATGTTTCCCACTTCTATTTAAAATTGGTACCATTTTTATTTAATTTTTTTATTCTTTTTTTTCAGTTAGCCTATATTTTAGTATATATATATATATATATATATATATATATATATATATATATATATATATATATATATATAAATTGCAATGTTTAATAGGGTTTTGGATACTCATGTTCACTGGGAGAGACCAACTCAAACTAGCTAAGACGAGCAAACCATTGGAATCTCGTGTAAATGCCTTGGCACGTGAATGTGGTAATCATGCAGTACTATTGGTAACTGATGCCACTGTACCATACGGACAAAAGTCTTAAGAGGCCCTCGACCAAAAAGGCCCATTAATTGATCCTATTATTAGCTCTACTCACTCATTTCTAGGACACATTCCTTCCTGGAAAACTCTGTCGAGAGGAACAATAGTTTGTCCGAGAAACACGTCCAGACCGATCAGCACTCTATGCATCACGGTGAGCACCAGGTTGCTGCTCCCGGGCGGGTACGCGCTCGTCCCACCCGCTTCCAGCAGCCCGGGCTGGAGCTCAAACGAGCACTCCTCGTTCCACTGCGGCTCCTCAGCCTTCTCCACCAGGCCGGTGGTGTACTTCTCCTTGCCGACCTGGATGATAGTGTAAACATAGCGGCTGCCTTGCTTGCCCTTCGACCGCAGACCCCTCGCGCGAAGCACGGTCACGTTGACATGCGTCGGGACCCATCTCTGATCATCGTCGTCCAGGCTGATTAGAGGCATCCCGGTGCAGATGGAGACGCAGTTGTTTGGGCTTATCCAACAGAATGACACTTGCGCATTGGATATCTATGCACTGCTCGCGCCCTTGCGCCTGTCCGCCGCCCGAAGTTGAAGAAAGCGAAATCGCTGCATTATCATTCAGCTCAATTCAAAAAGACGACCACAATCGCAACGCTGATGATAATAAATAATCCCTCGCGAGGCAAACCACACCAATTTACTTTAGTGGGCGTTGTGGACCCTCGGCGTCACCTCCACAAGATTTTGACAACTCACTGCGCTGCTGCTGCGCGGCCCGCCCTCCAACATTTTGTGGGGGCTCCGCAATAAAGTGTTCAGCAGAATTAAAGAGAAAGGCAGCTCAAATCCGTTATGGAATGGTTCATATTAAAACATAATGAATAATCTGGCAGAGATCACTAGTTTGAGCTCTACCTTGACATGGAATCAGAGAGCACGCCAGAATGTGAGAAAACCTAACGGAGAAACGCTGAAGCAGCTCCAATGTGGCGTTTCTTTCGTGCAAGAGTTTTGAGTGAATCCTTGTGGTGGTGAGCGAATCGGTTATTTGAACAAACCTTTTTTTTTTTAATTCTCTTAACTCGTTCACTTTCATGGATCTTGCAAAGGAGCATCTCATTTGTTGGACAATGAACAAACGTCCCTTCCCTAAACGAGTCGCAGGTTTGAGTAGTTTCAGGTGTCTTCGTTTTCCAACCAGTGGGCGTTTTAACAACGTTACTCGATTTGCTAAAAATATGAAGGTTAATCTCGAACCCCACCTCTAAACCCTTACTCTACGTGGTTTAGAGCAAATTGAGTTAAGTGGTTGAAAAACGCCCATCGGTTTGAAAACACCCACTGTTGGGAAACGGCCCCTGAGTAACCCTTGACTGAGATTGCACTCTGGGTTACTTGCATTCTACAGAGATTTTATCAAGGTCTGATAAGATTTTTTTTTTTTTATTTAAGGATAGAGGCATATTTCATGAATGAATTGAATGAACTGGGAATATTAAAGGGGTGATGAACTGAGAAATCAAATTTTCCTTGAGCTTTTGACATCTACGAGGTCATCATATTATAAGAACATCCTGTAAGTTTCAGCACTGAAAACGTCATTGTTGAACAGTGCTTAAATTTCTGGATGCACACAAATTTTAATAAAGGCATTTTCCGGTAGACTGCTGAGTAAATCGAATGGGTGAATGATACAATGACTTGCAATGTCTTTACCTGGCATAATGATGAAAAATATCACTGAACGAGTAAGAATCTGAATGGCTCTGTCTGAAATCGCATACTCTCAAGTAGGTACTTATGTTTAATTATTAACTTCACGACTACTAAAACGTTTTCTATATAAAGGGATAGTTCACTTTGAAATACATTTTTGTTATGTTTTAGCTTGCCTTACCTCAAGGGCATCCAAGATGTAGGAGTCTTTGTTTCCGAAGTAGTTTCAATTTTGATATTTTTAGGTCAAACTGTTTGTGTCTGTCAGTCATATAATACAGGTCTATGGTACCACATCAAAGAGCATGCACAGAGAAGCCCAAATTAAACATGATTTAATGACTAGTAAATGTAAGTACACACTGATGGCCTAAGACACGAATCAAGCGGTTTGTTTGAGAAAACGAACAATATTGTTCGTTTTTCTCACACAAACCGCTCGTTCCGTGACAAACATGAACAGTTGACCTAAAAATATAAAAATTGAAACTACTGTGGAAACAAAAATACATATTTGATGCCCTTGAGGTAAGCTAAAACATACCAAAAATGAATTTCAAAGTGAACTACATTCTTTACACTTTTGTCACATTCTGTTTTTCACCGACTATATAGTAGGTAAGTAGGCCTATGCGATTTCGGATGCAACCACTGTTAGTAAACCATTTCAAGTCCATAACCCTATGCAGGACAGTGATGATGGGTCAGTGTGTAGGGGTGGGGTTTGATGCTATCTCTGCTAAAGTATCCTAAATTTTTTTCCAATGGCAGAACGTAATCTTGTTTCAGCCACATATTACGCAATGCCTGGAAATGCCTGCATTACACAATAACATACTATAGTTGAAAAGATAACTGGACTTAATTTACAAACAGTGGATGCTGAATAACACATGTTCAAAACAACAAGAGTTTAAACCAGTATAAAATGGTTTGCTCCCTCTTGTTAGCTGGCTGGTTTAATAGGCACTTTTCATTTTGAACCTAATTTTGCAATCTTTTTTTTATCATGAATAATACGCTACATCTTCTGAATGATTTAATCAATTCTGCGCATGCTCATCCAGCAGACATCTGCAATTATCCACACTGAAGTGAATTTGACAGGCTTTGAATTGGTTTCACAAAGAAATGTTGCAATGGCTTTATTGTTGTCTACTGCCATCTATTGTTCAATTTCTGGAATTAATAGAGTCACTACTATTGAATAACAACACAGATGGCATTGTCTGAATCAGTTTTTTGTTTCATTTTCTTTTTTTCATTTTTGTTCACATTACATAAATGCATCTGTTTCAAAAGAAAATATCATTAATAAGTAGGGGGGGAAACAGTCTCATCACTTTTGGTGGGGTTCACAGTGTTGACACATTCTTTGAATAGACTAGAAGACTAACAATTTCCAATCAACATGGATTTGTACAATCACAACAGGCTACATTTCACAACAACAGAAGCTTTTGTATGTCTGGTAGTCAAAGGCAACATCAACTTGGTAGTAACACATTTTGAAGACTTTACACCACTCCGACACATCTCGTTATCAGCCGTTTAATGTTTGTGAATCGCTGGCATGAAGCTGAAACATGAACATGTGAACTTGTACTGCGATTCAGTAGCCATTAGTAGCAGATGAACAAGACCACAGATCTTTAGATAAGAAACTCCCTCAATGTTTACGAGTTTTGATGTGTGAACAGGTTTAAATGCTGGGGATTTCCAACCATCTGATATCTGATGAAGTGCCATGGAGAATGAATTCAAAATGTTAAATGACATTTGACTAAATTCTACCAGACATTACACAATGACCTGGATGTATAAACATTTTCACAGACGGAAATTTTGTCTAAGGCATTAAAGAAAGATGGTCAGTTCTCAAACCCATTTTTCTTTTGTTTGAAAACCCAAACAGCCAGAGGCCACTAATAAACATGAACACCAAGAGATTATCAACAGTCTGAATTGGCAGTATTTGTAGTTCCTAGTGGTAGATGGTGTCTCTTTTTAAGGCATTTCATGTAGTTTCTATGCAGTCACACAGAATATAAATAAATGATGTCGGGTTGATCCTTTAAACATGATCTTGAACTAGCAGCAACACAAATTCCAAACAGCATTGCCTCCTTGTTGGACCTTTAAAGTCAGAGGAAAGATAAGGAAGCCAAACAACAAATAATTGCCTATGACAGATTAGTGTACCTGCAGTCATCGATGCGGACAAATTGAGTATTTTCATCCTGCAGCCACTAAGAAACTGATTTTTGCAACATCAGAGTTTTTTTTTTTTTTATGAACGTCACAGATTATTCAACATCACATGATAATAAAATAGGGTGCTCGACTTTAAATTCAACCTTATCAGACAGAATAACAGAACATCATAATAGCACCTCACTTATAGGCCGTCTTTATGAACTTCTGACCAATCTGACACAAGAACGGATACATTCATGTTGCTATAGTGGATCATGTTCTTAATCACATTCGATGGAACGAATTTGGAAAAGGAGCAAATAACAAACCTGATATTTTGAAGCATCCAACCAACTCTGCTTTCTAGTGACTACTAACCATTTACCACAGAGTTCTACAACAAAGCATGGAAGAATCCCACATAATTCACCGGGTAGGTGTGAACTCCCTGGAATGTATTATTGACAGGAAGAAATAAGGATTATATTTATCCGTAAGTGCTGCAATCTCTGTCTGAGCTGATCTGGACTGACAGTACGGCTCACTCCTCATCTTGATCCACGACTTGAGTGCTGAAAACACTGGATGTATGTCTCTTCTTTAGTCCCCCAGGCCATTCTGTGTGCCCTTGAGATAGAGATCATCCTGAGAGAGCTGCCCGTCATAGCTCTCCATGTATAAACTACCGCTGCTGCTGCTGCCGCTGCCCACGTTGCCCAGGAAAGTGCCCACAGCACGGCCCTGCCGCGCGTGCCCCACTGCATCACTGAAGACCTTGTTTATCTGCTCCTCAGAGGGCATCCACCAGTCAGGATTAGAAGCACAGTGCATCCGGATAAACTCTGAGAGAGGGAACGCCGCGGGACAGAGATGAGAGAGAGATAAAATTAAATTTGAATAATTATAACATTGATAATCTGATTCAAATAAATGCCTCCCAAATACTAAAATCAAAAAAGGGTGTGTTCACACTTGTAGTTCGGTTCTCTTGGTTCTTTTTGGTCCGAACCAAAAAAAGAAAATGATACATTAAAGGAGTAGTTCACTTTTAAAAAAACTTTTTCTGATAATTTACTCACCCCCATGTCATCTAAGATGTCCATGTCTTTCTTTCTTCAGTCGAAAAGAAATGAAGGTTTTTGATGAAAACATTCCATGATTTTTCTCCTTATAATGGACTTTACTGGGCACCAAACGGTTCAAGGTCCAAAAGACACTTTTAGTGTAAACTGCAAACTGTTCAAAGGGCTTTAAACGATTCCAGACGATGAATAAGGGTCTTATCAAGCGAAACGATCGCTCATTTAATAAATAAATAACAAAGTTTAAGTTTCATAAGCTCAACTGCTTACCTTGCTCTGTGCTGCGATGCACGTTCGTGACTCTTCTGTTCAAACTCGTTCATCTTTTTCCGAGTCAATTTTTTTCCGAGTCAATTGGTTCATTCAACAAACGAAACGAACGAATTGACTCGGAAAAAGATTCGTTCATTTTGATGAACGAGTTCGAACAGGAGTCATGAACGTGCATCGCAGAACAGAGCAAGGCGAGCATTTGAGCTTATAAAACTTAAACTTTGTTATTTATTTATTAAATGAGTGATCGTTTCGCTTGATAAGACCCTTATTTATCGTCTGGAATCGTTTAAAGCCCTTTGAAAAGTGAACTACTCCTTTAAGTCCTGGTTCACTTAGCATTCATACTGTTATTTTAAACACCGAACCTAAAGATACAAGCAAAGCAAAAAAAAACAACCTTTTTTCATAATATATATTTTGTTAATGAACATCAAATACAATGCTGTGATCTGGGCTAAATGTGCTCATTGTATGTGCATACATATGATTCTATTTTTACCAGCTGTGAACTCACGAACATCTTATAAATTAGTAAAGGTGTCAAAACAGCGGCAGGAATTCTTCCATTATACACCAACAAGGATCTTCTCAGAGACGACGTGGTTTCAACTATGGTTTCAACTAGTATATGCTTGAGATTTAAGGGTCACATCACATCCAGTTTTTGGTTCATTTGGATGTTTTTTGTCTGTGTTGCGTTCATATTTCAGTCAAACCCCACCGAAGCCGACCGAGAGCCACGGTTTCAGCTTGTTTGGTGCATGCAATGTTTGGATGACAGCGTTCACACTTAATCAATTGAATCGCGCTAACAGAGCAATCACACCAGAGTTCGTTTTAATCCAAGCAAACCTGCGAAGTGTGAACACACTCCAAAAATTCTTTTCGCTTACTACCTCTGAGACAAGTGACCTTGACGGGGTTAAGAGGCCGTCTCTCCGGTCCCGTATCCCCTGTGTGTACCGAACGTTTCCTCTTCCCCAGACCGCATGAGTATTTCAGCTCATCTGTGGTGAACACAAACCGGATAAGGTAACGCAGGAGCCGCCGGCCATCTTTTTTTGAGGAGTTGACAGCCTCGTCCCACTGCTTATTGGTGATGAAAAGAGGATAGTTCCCCAGTAGCTGTTTACTGCCCTATTTAGAGAAGACAGAGATTATAAGATTATAGATGGCAGAGGGAAAAAAATCTTTAATGCTGATTTTAATCTTTAATGTGCTTTAATGCATTAACATTTAAACAGACACTGCACTAAATATTGTAGCTAAAAAAAAAAACAAGCAAATTCAATTTAAAGAATTGAAACTTTACTGGAATGCTAAAAGATTCTGTTGCTTATAGTTTTATGTAACAGTCGGTCAAAGTGATATTTTCATAACCCCAGATTAGACCTTCATTTGAATGACAGTTTCAGTTCATGTTCCATGGTAACAGTGTCTTTCATAAATTTGTGTCACTGTGGTTTCTCTGACTATTTTAATTTTCTGTCAGGCTCACCTCGGTAAGCTGCTCTTCGGACTGGGGCTGCACAAATTGGTTGTAGTGCTGAAGAACAGTCTTAAAGAAGTCCAAAACATTCTGGCAAGGAGCTGTCGAAGGCAAAACCAGCAAAAAAATGTTGGTTGAAGAACTTTGAGTTTCATTTAAACCAACCAAACTGAGCTGTTGCACATAAGATGAATACAATGAACTGTTAAAGGTGCAATGTGCAATTTCCTTTAATTAATTAGTCTTTAATTAATTTCTTTAATTAGTTTTGTACCAAATGAAATAAACAATTCAACTATGAAATTAATGAATGCAATGCATTGATACTATCCGTGGCTTAGAAAAAGCTGGGGTTTCCCCCTTCATAGTGGAAATTATGAGAGTATATACGTACATCATTGTCTTGATGACCCTTTTTGGACACTTTCAGTAGTGAAATAAATGAATCAGGTGACAAATATATTGTAAAAAGGGTATTTTTACAAAAGCATCCAAAACTGAAATTTTTCAAATTTTTCCATTAAAGCCAGGTATGTAAACAGCTAAGGACAAAAAAGAGGAAAACATGCGTTCCTCCATTTAATATGACTAAAATAATAATTATTAAATTTATTTTAAAAATTATTATTTATTATTGTTATTATTTAAATCATAAAAAAATAATATTTAAGAAAATATAGTTGCAATAATACTATTGTAATGTAAAATTATATTTAAAGGAAAATATTTAATAATAATAATAGTTGTATTTTACAGAACATTATTTATGACTGTCCTGATTTCTTTGCTTTCAAACGTTAAACTTTTTAAATGAAACTTTTTTGGGGGAAAAAAAGACCTTAAAGCTTCTCTTTTGTTGACAACAGATTTATAAACTATACTTATTACAAATGTACGTAATCTACTGATATAACCACGATCTACTGTCTCCAGCAAATGCAATAAATATTTAGCGTGTTACATTACGCAATTTTAAAAGTAGCTAAGGACAGTAATAATAATATAGTGAATATTCTTACAAAAATATTCTATCAAATCTTGTAGTGGATTCTGTGTCTAAGATCAGGATTGAAGTAAAACTAAATCATCAAATAACACTTAATACCTGGTATGTTGTCCAGTTTGTGTCTCAGTTCCTCATTGTCCTGCTGTAGACTAAGAACTTCCTGTTCCAGCTCCATACAGCGTGGACAACAACTTTCCTCCTCCTCGTCTTCCTCGGGCAGTGTGGACGAAGGGTGTCCGTAGGACTCTGACGGTGCTGGTGAAGTCCAGCCACCCATGTTCTGCCTGGGGGACCCCGATGCTACCGGCTCAGCGTCTACTGTACGACCCCGTTCACTGTCCGATGACTGGGGTCCGCATAGAAGGTAGTTCTGAAGCGACTCTGTGAAAATCCGGAGGAAAGCGGAAGTCTGCTGCTGGTTCCAGTGGTTGCCCCGTTGGGTCTCCTCACCTGCGTTCTCCAGAGATGAGTCCTCCGACCTGGGCTTAGAAGCGGGAGATGGGCAGCTGTCCTCCTGTTTTATGAGAGTGGAGATGGAAGAGGATGGATGGGCCAGGGAAGGCTGGGGCTCAAGGAGCCGTCCGTTGCTGTTGAGGAGGCCGAGCACGCGACTGCACTGCTGGGCAAACGCATCCAATATGAGCCGGTTTTCTGAGGAGAGATCGAAATTACACACAAGTAAGCATCGGATTTATTTTCATTTTCTATATTCAAAGAAATAGTTTAACCATAGATTCAAAACATGCATAAAGAATAAAAGAAGAGCATAACTTTTATACAATGCTGACCACAGGTTTTTTTTTTTAGGCAAAATGTTCATATATTCTCCTAATATTCTTCTTCGGTGCACTTAGGAAGAAATAAAATATCCTTTTAACCTTCAAATGGTCTTCGTTTCCTGTTTACACTTCTGGGCTTTGGGTTCTATATGACCCCAACAAATGACTGAGTAATTGCACATAAAATATAAATTTTTAATCATACAAATAATATATCTTTTTTTTTTGTTTGTTTACTTCTCATCTATTCATTAATGCTGTGTTTTTGGAGATATAAAGTACTTTTGTATCCATATACCACACAATTCCTCAACTACACCATTAGCTTGCATGTGAAATATTATTTTTTTTATGATACATTGCATTTATGCTCTAGTACTAGGCCTTCATTTCGGTGTAAAAAATTTCAGATTTATGCCGTATTTTTATTTGTTGATTTTTTTTGGACACATGAAGAAAATATATTTAGTTTTTCACATTTCCCATTCATTTCAATGTGGGGTCATATTGAGCCCGAAGACCAGAAGTGTAAACGTTTTTTTTTTTTTTTTTACATACCTTCACAACAACCAAATCAAGCCCAGTTTTTTGTGTGCGTATAGATAGATAATGTATGAAAAGTCACAAAATCTTATTCCACTGAGATGAAGGGAAGCTTTTTGTTTTATTAAGTAAAATTCGATTGGGGTCATATAGACCCCATGACCCAATTGAGGGCTACTGCTAGTTCCTCAAATGTTTTTTGTAATATTCTGTTTTTTTTCCCACATCAAATAGTTATAACAATCTATTTTAGAGTTAACTAATAATCTATTAATTTACTAAACCATTTCATATTTTAATTTAGCCTAACATCACCACAGCATGCTTGCACAGTGTCTTTATGTTCCATGATCTATTAGTCTTTTTTATGTGCTTCTTGTCCTTCATTTACACTTTCCATCATTTGGATTTAAAATCTGCAACTAGGTTCTGCATGCCTACAGATTCAGGAGATAAAGATAAAGATAAGGACGCTGTGAATCTGCACACACCCACCCACCTAAATTATATGGTGTCACTGTTCATATAAACACTATTAATTTCTTCCAAATCCTCTAAATATGATGAGAAGAAGCAGAGAGATTAATAAAAGGAAAATGCTGACCAACCATCCGCATTCAATTACTCTGTCTCCCCACAGCCTTCTGGCCGCGCCCAGATGCAGAATCTTAAGAGGATGATTATGAATTTGCCCCCCTCACACAAAGACACAGGGCAGACAATTATCAGCTCATGCAGTCGCAGTGGCAGCCGTGTGACTGACGGGCTCCAGCCTCTGCCGTCGCCTGGATGTGTCTATCAGGCTTAAGCAGATGTGGCCATTTATTAACATGCGCAGCTTCTCTGTTTACCCCCAGCAAGATGGTTTTGATATCATTCTCCTCTATCTTTCCCGCTCCCTCATTCCCCTTTTCCCCCCTTCTCTCACTCCCTCTCTTTCTTCCTCTGTTATGCCATGCAGAGTGAGGCTCATGAAATTTCATTAAACACAACATGTGCCGCAGAGCCAAATTTATGAGCCACATTTGTTTTAATCACAATCCCTTTGGAGGAGCTTTTAAATGCAATTTGGATTATTGCACTGATCTCAGAGCTGTGTCCTTGGGTGTCTACGACTCATTTCCCCAAAGCTAGAAAGACGAAACCATTAGCACTGTCTGATTGGCCAAAAAATCCCCCATGGATTATTTTCGCAGTGGATATTCTATAACAATAAACCAAAAGGGCTTGGTTTGAAATTAGAAGGTACTGTTTATACTCTGATCTGGATTGCGAATACTGTGTCGTCTCTTCAACAAGTGCATTTAATATTTAGTGGACAGCCTGAAACCCTTTTATTGATGTCAAGGTGAATTTCACAATGCATGTTAAACACTATGTTAAAGACAAACAGTGTTCGCGGTTGATCTTAAACCTTTCCATATGTAATTTAATAACTTGTGTGGAGATAAATATCAGCTGAATGTTTGCACAGACTTTGAGGCACCCTGCTGTAAAATAATTCGGGAAGGCCTGAGGCTCTGATGAATGAAAACAACTTCTTGTAACAACAAAAAAACAAATAAACGAAAGAAAAAAACAATTACTGAAGTTGAAGTTTAGGTAACTCAATTAAGTTGGTGAGAAAAACAAGACACTCCACAAATGCATGCAGGGAGAATATTAATGCAGCATGTAAAGAAATCTAACAGTACTTGATGAGACTTTCATATATAGATCATCTCTATCATCATAAGACCAGTGTTTACATTTTATTGATACTCATTATGCTCGTATTTATTTTATTAATACTCATGCTCTATTTTTAAAATCAGGAATTACCCAAGCAGGAGTCAACCACTTGTGTTAGTGATATAAAGATATAAAGCAAGATTTTGGTAAATATACAGAAGTCTCAGAATGTCATCTCAACGTGTAGGCCATGAAATATTAAGAACATATTAGTGCAGGTGTATTATGACATTCACTGTTTTCATTCGTATGTTATGAAATTAATCATGCCGACAATGCTCGAATAAGTCGCATAATATGGGCGTGGGTCTCAAAATATCCATGCACTCGCGTGAGATGCGTTAATAATTACTATTTGAAGGAAAATGTACACGCATCCCTTTTCCCATTCGGTTGTTCAAAGTTGCAGCTTCGTGATGAATTCATGGATAAAAGTTTCTTAGGCAAACTTCACTTACCTGAGCTTATTCCATACGTGCAGTCTGGAGACTGGTGGCTGATCTCGGCGCGACCCGCCGGGTATCTGCCCGACTCCTGGCCGGCGACCCTCCTCTGGCAGCCGAATGATGCCGCGGCGCTCACCGCTGATGCCGCCGCGCTGGATGTCGCGACTCTGCTGCTGCTGGGCCTGACTTCACAGGGGAGACGGTGCTGCTGACTGCTACTGATGGAGAGGCAAGCTTGAGGAAGCGGCGCCCGCTGTGAATACTGCTGATGATGATGACTGAGGTGATGAGGATGCTCTGCGAGTTGCGGGATGTCCACCATTGTGGGTCTGTCATATCTCGCCTTGCCCGCCGCGCGCTTGCTCTGAAAGGTCTTGAGGGAGCTGTACGGGCTTCTGTGTTGCTGCTGCCTGCAGATTTTGGGCGCAGAGAGACCTTCGTCTGCTGGTAGCATCTCCTCCTCCATCTCCCTGGGACTTGGGTGTCGTTCTGTCCCGGTCTGGTTATATCGGTTATCCCAGTGTCTCGCCGCCTTGCTCTGTGTCTCAAACACTTCTAACTCTGTCTGAGATACTCAGAGGGTGGGTGACTTTACTGACAAGTCATTGCTCCAATCCCCTGGCGGTAACAGCACGCGCTGGCTTTATTCTACCAACAGGGGAATACCGGCGGCACCCGCGTGCGCGCCTTGCCACTCGGTGCGTGTCAGGCTCGCGCTCCCATCAGTGGAGCGTCAGAAGAGACAGGTGCAAGATGATATTTAGAGGTGTTCAAGATCCCCTCCATGTTGTTTCGCATAGCCATGTTGTCTATTTGGGGTATTCTTAGGTGTTTGTTGTTGTTTTAGGCTGAACTTTACTGAAACTGAACATTAGGACTTATATCTATTGGAAATTACTTAAAAAAAAACTTAATTTTCAAACTTCACATTTACAAGGTGTCATAAAATAATGGGTAAATAGATTGATAAAAAAAAACAAATGTGTATTTAAATTTAATGTAATTTAATTTAAAGTAGGCCCTACATGTCCTATGTTGTGTTATGAAATAAATACAAATATATTTTTTAACTGTAATTGCCCGAGATTCAGAAGCAGGGCTACTGTATCATTTCTCCAATGCTGGGTGGAAGCAAATGAAGAACAGACTTTATCTTTGCGGCTGTTTTCTCTTAGTGTGCAGGGAGCGGGAAATGAAAAAGCCGAAGTGGAGCTGGACTGGAGCCAAGTGAGTATAGAGCGCTTTGAGCAGAAGGGGAAAACGCTGGTAGTCCGTTCCACTTTTCATGCGTTACTTGGCGGGACCTAAAGCTTGATACTTTGTTAGAAGAACTATTTTCGTTTGCAGCGGTATAATATTGGCCAAGCTAAACTGGCCAGAAATAATCTAAAACATACTCGATATTAATTACTCTTAGAGATGACGTGATGTTGCCTATGATATTTGGCAACATGAACATCAAGCGAGTGTGAGAATGGAATCAATTATTACTCTGGTCTTTAAAGGGATAGCCTAGTTCACCCAGAATTTTTTTAATCTGTCATTACTCACCCTCAAGTTTGAATTTCTTTCTTTCGCTGAACAAAAAAGATGATATTTTGAAGAATGGGGTAACCAACAAACATTTGATGGGCCCAGACTTCCATATCCATGCAAAAAAAAAAAAAAAATCACCATTCTTCAAAATAGATAATTAATTTTGGGTGAACTAGGCTACATTTGTAATTGTGTATCATAGGCTATACATATGTGTATATAAAGGGCTTGAAGCTACAGGGGCGTAAGTGGCGTAACATGTGAGACAAAACAAAATTTTGACCACACTTCAATCACCTGTTATTAACCTTAAACCACAAACATTGCAACCACAGGGACACTTACATGAATGAGTATGAAGTTAAAAACGTCTGACATTAATATTACCACAATGAACATGTTCTGCAACATTTTAAAATATGTCAAAAACATAAGATAGGCTATACCTTTTTGGCACCAAACATTTCCAAGTCTTCTATGGACATATTGGGGGTCTCTGCTGAACAATGCAGAAACGAATAGGCGAAAAGGGGAATTGATTGAATAATTAACACTAGTAATTCATTTTCATTCATTCGTTTTTTTTTCTCATTTTACTTTTCCATTCTCAGCATCTATTGACAGACTGTAATAAAAGTCACTGAACTTGCCAAACACATTTCTGATTGGCAATTCATTGTTCACTACATTCATTAATTTTGTTTTATATGCAAGCCTATGTATAAAAATGATTATGACAATTTAAGCCCATAGAGAGGAATAGGCCTATACATATATAAATAAAAAATAAAAAAACTGTAAGAAAATACAAAATTGCCAGAAGAGGGCGACAACATGACAAATTTAACAGCAAAACATAACGTTTCCGCTCACGATCACCGCTTTCCAAACGACTGAGCGAATAACCCATAATTCTGTGAATTCAAACATCTAAATAAATGAAAACCAAAAATATACATATTAGCCTACCAAATATGAAATATTTGATTTTTAACTCCAAAGACTAAGCTAAAAACATCTTGGTAATGAAAAAAAAACCTGGGCAAACAAAATGAAAGAAACAGACCTTTCTTATAAAGATTAAAGATATTGGACAGAGACTACACATGAATCAGGTCCAGATGAGACACTTCTGTCACTCTTGCGCTCCCCGGGCAACAGGACGCAGAAACCATGCGCGCGTCCGGCCAGCCAACTGCGCGCGCGTCACAGAAACAGAGCGTGTGCGAGTCTGAAACAAACTTACGAGAGCAGAGCAGCACATTTGAAAAGTCGCTTCAGAGCAGGCGCGCGCGTTTCTGAGCAGTCACAACTTCTCGAGGAAGAACTGCAAGACAGCAAAGTGTTTTACCAGTCCTTGATAAATAACAGCTAGTCTAGGTGACAGTTAATTGTTTTTAAATCCATAGGTGGATATTAAAAGCAACGTTACGCCTGTTTGATGAGAAGTCTGCAAGACTAAAATGTCAGTAAACAGCGGGAGCGGATAAAATGCGGACAGAATCATGGAATTTCTGGAAGTGATAACGCTTGCCTATTTTAAAACAATCTGATTGGAGCTGGATGATTCCCAATATTGGATTTGGACAACAATCCTTGGATTTAATCCCAGTGACTGATTTAAATCTTATGAGCTAATGGAGTATTTTCCCAAATCATTGCTAGTTCGTTTAAAGCTCGTTTAACCCCAGAACGCCAGTTTATCGGGCGCGCTCCGTTTGAGAGGAACCGGCATAATTAAAGCGCATCTTGCCGGTATGGTGCGCTTGCTGAACTGCCTAGTCTTGGGGTACTTGACATGGAATCTGCGGATATCTGATGCCCGGGGAGAGTACTGTCACGGCTGGCTAGACAGCATTGGGAATTACCATGAGGGTTTTCAGTGTCCGGAGGACTTTGATACGGCGGACGCAACGGTGTGCTGCGGGAGCTGCTCGCTGCGCTACTGCTGCGCGGCCCCGGATGCGCGTCTCGATCAGGGAACCTGCACGAACGACAGAGAAGTGGAGAACGACACGCAATATGCTGCACGTAGGGCCCAGATAAACTTATAAATCAAAAGCTGTTAAATTAACCACAGATTTAATAAAAAGATTCGTCATTGTGTATATGATTCAGACAACTAAACTGAACAAACATAAGTCTACTATTAAGTTCTCAGTAGAAAAATTTTATTCCTGCAAGAGTACTGAAAGTAGTTCCTCTAACTATTAACTTTTTAAAAACAAATTTGTAAAAAAAAACAACAAAAAACTTTTTTTTTATGATAAATGGGCATATTAAATCAATCAGTACTGACATCTGGTTGAATTACTTAAAATAGTTTACTTGTTGCCTGCACAATTATTACATTACATAATTTCATAACAGTGATATTTTGGGTTTTAAGATTGAAGAGTGAGATTACACAATGTTTTACTCAGATAAAATACCAGCAGCCATAAAGGGATCTCATATGCCAGCACTTGCTATAATGTCTGACAGACTTATTTGAGCAGAGCAGAGGTTAACCTGACACACATGCACTCTCTCTATACAGCCACAGCATGGAGAAAATGTTCTCATCATTGTATTCTGTCACAATAATTTGTAGTTTTTACTCAGTTTTAGAAGTTTCCAATTTTTTTTTTGATTTCTTACTCATCAGTTCAATTCAAAGTGGTTGAAAAGTGCAAGCACTGCAGGAAGCCAATTAAACCTGAAATGTTTGCAGTGTTTTAAGAAGAAATGTATACATTACACATCTAATCACATTCATGAACAAAGTAAATATTGTTTCATCAAATCATTATATTTTGATAAAGGCTTCATTAATGACTTAGATCTTTTAGACCGGTCAACTGTATTGACCTAATGATCACCATTCCTAATTTTACAGTCCAGCTGTCTTAATATGATTAAACATTCAGTTTACACTGACTTTAACTGGGTACACAAACTCATTTGGTGAGTTTTAATGCCATTATCTCAAGCAAACAGCGGGAACGTGTGCTTTGAATATTTAAAATGAGGTTTCTGCCAATTTATATATTGAAAAGATAATTAATGTGAATAAATAGAAAATATATTAAGCTGTAAAAAGATTCCCTTTAAAGAAAATGTTTTATTGACATTATTCAGCTCACTATTAAATAAACCTTCCATTTAATAACAAGCAATAGATGAAATATTAAGCAACAAGGAATTTAAAAATGTGAAACCATAATTTATAAGACTAGATGACAATACTAAATTCAAAGTAAACTCAAATTGATTTCTATGGGGTCGTTTACTTGTATTAGTATAACGTTGATTCAATTCAGTCGATTCAAAACAGTGACAGCATTGCGGTGTTAATCGATTTTGTATAATAAATCCGATTGTTAATTTGTATATGTATGTATAATAAAAGTTGTTAATTTGACTGAATATTAAAGGAGTAGTTCTCTTTAAAAAAAAAAAAAATTGCTGATAATTTACTCACCCCCATGTCATCCAAGATATCCATTCAGTCGAAAAGAAATGAAGGTTTTTGATGAAAACATTCCAGGACTTTCTCCATACAATGGACTTCAGTGGGAACCAAACACTTCAAGGTCCAAATGAGTTTCAGTGGAGCTTCAAAGGGCTTTAAACGACACTAGACGATGAATAAGGGTCTTATTTAGCGAAACGATCGCCCATTTCAAAAATAAATTAAAAAGTTTACGTTTTATAAGCACAAATGCTCGCCTTGCTCTGTCCTGAGATGAGCGTTCGTGACTCTCCTGTTCAAACTCGTTCATCAAATCTTTTTTCGAGTCATGACTCGAAGGGTCCTAGATAAGACCCTTATTCATCGTCTGGTGTCGTTTAAAGCCCTTTGATTTGGACCTTGAACCGTTTGGTTCCCAATGAAGTCCATTATATGTAAAATCCTGGAATGTTTTCATCAAAAAATCTTTATTTCTTTTCGACCGAAGAAAGACATGGACATCTTGGATGACATGGGGGTGAGTAAATGATCAACAAAAGTTTTTTGAAAAGCGAACAACTCCTTTAAGTGTCCCGTGCCGTTTCTCTCTTCCAGAGCCCATCTACGTGCCCTTTCTGATGGTGGGCTCCATCTTCGTGGCGTTTGTAGTGGTGGGCTCTCTGGTGGCCGTGTACTGCTGCACCTGCCTGCGACCCAAGCAACCCACCCAGCAGCCGATCCGCTTCTCACTGCGCAGTCAGGGCGAAACCATCCCCATGATCTTCACCACGGCTCCTCCCAGCCTGCGCACGCCGTCCCGACAGTCCAGCACGGCCACCACCAGCTCCAGCTCAGCGGGAGGAGGGAGCTCGGTCCGTCGCTTCTCCCTGGGCCGGGCCGACACGCTGGGGCAGTGTTCGCAACAGCAGCTCCTGATGGTCTCGTCCTCCGCAGCGTCCACTCCTGTGTCCGTGACCCCGACGCAGCCCTTATTGCCTCCACCACCTTACACCTCCCAGCAGGCCAGTAACTCACACGGTCACAGCCAGTTACAGATGCACCACCAGACCCTGCAAAGCTCCGGGTTCCTCCTGCCACAACAATACTTCTTTCCTCTCCCGCAGGAACCGTTCTCTGGGAACAAGGGGTTTGCTGACTTCAGCCAGAGCTGACCGCAAGAAAAGGAGACGGACACCAAAGAGCCGGTCATTCACAATGCCCTGTTGTAGACTCGTATTACAGGGGCTCCCGCACAAGGAAACAGGCACTAATAGCTTGACTGGCACTTGCGAGACCGCAGCTGGAATTCGAGAGCCGTGTGGAGCGCTTAAGCTGCTGAGATAGTGGACGATCAGTCTGACAGACACTCAAGTGCTGGACACAACACACCAGAACATGGACGCCTACTTCAAAGCACCTATATCTACAATTGATCATATCTTGTATGCACTTCCAATCCGCTTCTATGATAAAAGACGTCTTATTTTTGAAAACTCCAGCTGGTTGACAGACACACAGCCTTTCTATTTGAGGTCATTTTATATAATTACACACTTAGGAAGAATGCCAGATAAGACAATGACAATCTCAGTCCCATTTTAGGGGTCGTGCACACAAATAGTGCCATGTATGAATGAGGGTTTTATAGAAATGGTATTAGATTAAAGGTTTAATTGCCAGACTGAGACAAAGATAGTTCATAATGTTTAAAACAGGCATTCATCATGTGTTACTCTCACTATTAATACTCAGACTATCAGTCACACTAGAAACGCGTGTTAACATCAGATGAATGCACAGCTACCTTTGGGGAAACTTCTGTTTTTAATGTTTGGAGAGCATTCGTTCTTTGTATAATTTGTAGAAAGCTGAAAGCCACTATTGGCTCAGGTTTAAACGGTTTGTATTTTGTTATTTTTGATACCAGATGTTTTTTTTTTGTAAATGATCAGGTGTATCTAAATGTACAGTCCAGCTGGAAAACGCATCATGTGACGAGACGGCCTTCAACTAAGTATTACGGTCTCTAACCAACAGTGTTTTTGAGCTAAATTAAACCGTTTTATCTTTCGCCTGTGTTTAGTTGGTTTCCCCAACAACAGTAATGCATTAGATTTGAATGACACATTCAAGAAACTGTATGACATCACTGACATAAGACGTTCCATTTTAGAACAGGATGATTTAGAATATGTGACATTCCAGAAAACTATTACCAAAGACGGGAAAAATTGCTTTAACCCATGGACTAATTCCTTCTAGGGACCTAGCAGTGGATTCATTTATATAAACCGTGGCCAAAATACATATACGCCTGTTATTAAAATATTTAATAGATAACAACTCTATTAATGTCACGAACCGAGAGAACATGCAAAATGTCTAAATGTAATTTATTTGATGAATTTCCGCCTTGTCCTGTTTAGATTGATATCGCATCCTGTTTAATGCCACACACGATGACCAGATTCAGCGTCATTTTTCTGTCCTCACTGAAAGCTAAATTCCGTGCATTGCATGAGACACCGAAAATGCTTGATTTTTAATATACATAATAAACGTTTGGGGTCAGTAAGATAAAAAAATAAATAAAAATGAATACTTTTATTCAGCAAAGATGCTTTAAATTTATCAAAAAAGACATTTATAATATTACAAAAAATAAAATAAATGCTGTTCTTTTAAACTTTATATTCACCAAATGATCAGACACTTATAATTAATATAATAATCAGAAATCAGACACTTATTTAACCCTAAAACCGTATTCTGGACAAATGTGGGCAAAATAGTTTTGATTTATTTTAAAAAAAATATATACTTCCCTCTATCTGAGCGGTACAAGACTTGGCTACTTTTCCTAAGTTTGCCTCCTGAGAACACACAATTTTTTTTGACTCAATTCTACAATGTTAAGTGGCTGAAAAAAACCCCTCCTTAATCTTGTATTTGGGTCAAAAACGGGCACCCATAGAAATGAATGGTAAAAACTGTAATTTAGAGCATTCTAAAATGAGCCAAAAAGTCAGCAAAGTCACTTCCTCTTTAGGTTTTAGCTCTAAGAACTTATTGGGATGATATTTTAATGTAGTTAAAAAAAAAATAAATAAAACTACATAGTAATTAATTTACATAGAAATAATTTGCATAGAAAATGTGGTACTTTTTGAAGTAAATAAATGAAAAAATACCCCCAAAATGAAAAAAAAAAACCCCACCATAAATGGATAGACAAAACTTTTATCGAAGACAGTGATATAACATTTATAATAAATAAAAGTTAGGATCACAATTACAGGATTAAGGGCTGTAAAGTGAATACGGTTTAAGGGCTACAATCTTTCTGACCCTAAACCTGTGAACAGTAGTAAAACATATTTTGCACAATATATTTTCTGAACATACAAACATTTGTTGAATACACTGGGTGTTCATGGGAAGCGCTGAGCCAGAATTTTCTCATGATTAAACAGTAAACAGATTTTGCTAGCTGTAAACAAGACATCAAGGTCAATTTTAACGCCCTAACTGCCCATTCAAGGGGACGGGCACAGCAGTGTGCGCGCGTTTTGAAGAAGAACGTATTAACAAATGCTGTGCAGATTGGTGAAACATCTCAAAGGTGTTTTAAAAGAGGACATGAAAACCAATGCACCGTATTAAACGGGTTACTCGCTTTTTAAGGCACAAACACTATAGCGGCCAGAAGCAGAGATTTATGATTGTATTTGTAGGGAAATGTTTGCTAAAGTTAGAAGTTAGAAATGCATCGGTCTAGACAGGATATAAGCTCTTGGAAGTTTATGGTGCGGAAAACAAAACAGATTATTGCCAAATCATGACTTTGTGTTCAATGAATCCCCAATGGAGAGCCATGCGATCTGTACTGACAAATCCTCCTGATGCCTCCTACAATACTGATCCAGTGCTAATATATCTTGGATAGCCTTGAGGATTCTTCAGGATATAATTAACAGAAAAAAAAAATAAATCATGAGAGAAGAGCTCTTCAGTTGTAAAGTTTATTTCAGTAGTCCTTCATGGCAGTTAAAAGACAAAACACTTAAAAGTTTGCAGTTCCAACATGCTAAACAATCATTTAACAAAAAGACAAAAGAAAAAGATCCAAAAGAAAACAAAAAAGGAAAACACCCAATAGAGACTTCAAAACCATATCAAAGTGCATTTTCATTCTTTAAAGTGACCAACACTAGAGAGATTCAGCGTACGATTAACATTTAGGCTAAACCAAGAACAACTTTTCCATTCATGCAATCAGTCACTTTGACAGACGGGAAATTCGGAAAGCAACAGTCCAAGCCTTTAACCAACGTCACATCATATTTCCAGTGTTCGAGTCGGATGATGACCCACAGAAAAAAGCACAGCTTAAGGAGCGAAATGCACAGAGCCATTAATGTATTCTTGTTGAGTTAAATAAAAGACGTTTCGGCTTGAAGAAGAAGAGTTACACTGAGATCTGAAACTAAATTAAGAACACGTACAGTACATCCATCCAGATAAATAATACTGCAACTGATATGAACTACATAAAGAGAATATTCATCACATAAAAGATAAAAGAGTGCATTGTGCAACATCTCTGGTCAAGCTTTAGCAGAGCTTCATACACACCAGCACGCACACACACACACACACACACACACGCCTGCTGATGTACAGGGCCATGCAATGGCATACAGCTCACCGTTAGTATACCTGGAGTCGTGCAGACGGACGAAACAAGCAGCATCATACAACCGGACAAAGAGGACATCACACACACACACACGCACATCCTCATTCAAATCTCTTGAGAACTATTGTAATACAGTTAAACGGACATGCATACCGACGGGAACACAAACTCTCACGCAGTCACGCAGCACACATGCACATGCAGACGACACACGTTGCGCAGACGCACTATACAAAACGTGCTCTCCCACAGGGAGAAGAAAACCAACGCACGAACAAGACAGTTGAAGTCACAGGCGACGTAAGCTCATGAACCACGACCAGTTTCTGAAGGAGAACCACAAAAAAAAGAGGGACGACGTTTTCATTACAAAGCAGATCAGTCCAAAAAAGTCACACTCAGTCCAATATAAAAATACAAATTCACAAAATAACTATACAGACAAAGTTGGATCGATACTGTGTGGGTCTGGCGAAATCCTCCGTTCCTCCTCTATGCGAATGGCACTTATACTTGAGGGATTATCACTGTGTTCTAAGTCAAATAAACATTATGGTGAACGTCTGATGGTCTAAAAGAGATTCACTCGAGGAGCTGGACGCATAAGCGGGGCCGAGGTTCATTACGCTCGCGTAGCAGCCTGATACATCAGTATTTTGGTCTAACGTGCACAACGCTGCCTAGATAGAGACTCGGAAAATATTATCTCACTGGGGAAAAAAGGAGAGTTCCTGTTAGGCACCTTTGTGATCATTGCAGCCGTGTAAGACGTGGAATGCAGAAACGTGTTCAAGAAAGCCATTGAAACGCTGCTAAACTAAAGTAAAAACTAACGCTAAAACGTGCAAGCTAAAAAGGTCTGAAGAATCAGGCACGATAAAGCCAAAATCTAAACAAATCAAAAACTAAATATATTCCCAATAATTGGCTGAAGGCAACAACAAATGTAAGGCCTTGGTACATGAGAGTTAAGATGAATCTAAAAATAAATAAATAATAAAAAACAGTTTTCATTAGTGCAGAAAGCATTTGAGGAGTGTAAAAACAACCGGTTAACCCCTAATTATTATTTCTAAATACATATTGTTTTTAAAACAGGGACTGCATTCATAATGTTCTTTGAAAGTTTCCAGTGATCTGGGATAGGTCTTTTTGTTATTGTTGATGCAAATAAAATACCGAAACATTAAAAAACCAAAAGGGAGTGTTTATGTGCCATTAATGATTAGGAAGTCACAGTCAAAGACCATTACCACAAAAGTTATCACCACCCCCAACAACACATTTTTGGCTGTAACACTCATAGGAGAGAGGAGAGTCGATTTTTGATGCTCTTCTCCTCTGTTTGACAGATCAGAAACCATACTGACCGCAGGCTGGGCAAAAATATGCTAGCACAGTGCTAGTGTGTGCTGTCGAACATACAACTACAGCACAACAAAACTTGATTTTCTCTTTCTCATACCGCTTCATTTGTCCTATCCGTTGTTGCCCAGGGTGCCCTAGGCTGGCCAAAGTTAAACTGACAGGCTTCCGCTTTCTGTCAGCCTTTAAAAAGTCGAGTGACCGCTGAGAGGGGGCGGGGTCCAGCGAGCCGGATCTCACCACTCATTGGTCCGCTGCTTGGTGGTGTCATAGGCTCTGATGACCTCAGACTGGGAGAGCACTCCGTTCTCATCCTGTGAGAATGCGTAGCCATCTGTAAACAGGACCCAGAAAACATGCATCAGATAAATACACTCGACTAAACATTCTGCTGGAAATCTTAGGGGACAAGTGATACAAATTAAATCATAATAAAAACATTAAAGCATGAGAAAAAAAAAATCTAATTTTGTGTTTCTTTAGCACAAGCCTTCTCTTAAATCATAACCCCAATACCTAGGTGTGCTCTAAAAAAGAAAAAGACAATATTTCTTAACATCACAACTAAATAAATATGACAACTCGCGGTCATATTTTGACGAAGAAAATAAGGTAAATGCGTGCAGAACAGCACAAAAAGTATTTTAAGCGTTTCATTTATATCTCCTTAAATAAATAACAATATAAGGTCTCTATATATCTAAATAATATTATTATCAATTATACAAATATTTTAGGGCTGTCAAATGATTCATCGCATCCGTTTGTGTTTACATAATATATGTGGGTGCACTGTGTATAATTATTTTATATACAAAAATACACACACATGCATGTATATCTAAGAAAAAAATATTATTTATATATAAAATAAATTATATATAAATATAAATCTATATACAGTATACACGAACATATTTCTTAAATATATACAAGCATGTGTGTATTTATACATATAAAATAATTATACACAGTGCACCCACATTATGTAAACACAAACTTTTATTTTGGATGTGATTAATCGCGATTAATCGTTTGACAGCCCTAAAATATTTATTTATTTTATGTACTATGCAATTATATTAAAAATTATTCGGTGGCTCTGAATTCTCAAAACACCTCAAAATGCTTGCTATGGATGCGAAAAATCCAGAAAACCGAACCTGATCCGAATTTTGTTAATGGCGGATGAAAAATTCGGAGGCATTGTGTAAACGTGATTGACAAACCGTGAGGTTGTATTTTTTTTTCCAATGTACAAAAAATACCGGACGAGAATTTTGGACTCTAACAGTCTACTCTATTACTCAATTAACACTAATTAAACTTAGTAGACATTTAGGCGCAACATTACTTATAGTCAACAGAATGTGTTAAAGGAACCATCAAAACAAGTGGGAAACCAATAACATAGAAGGAACATTGTCTGTAAACTCATAAAAAAAGAATTCAAGGGCTGTGTGGATTATTCACAGAGTGTCCTGTTGTTGGGAGTCTAATAGGGGGGTCTAATAAGGCCTTACAATGACCTACATAAACTAATGGGACCAAAATGGCTGAAAGTAGTTGTATTGGTCCAAATTTAATGAGGTCTGTTGTCTGCAGGGAGACGCAACAAAAAGACATCAGTATGCAAGACGTCCTCACTGCTTGCTTCCAGAAATAAACAAAAAAATTCAAATCGGTCTCAGAGGGGACCTTGGGAAGTGCTATGGCACTGTGGGTGGGCTGGCTGGGATGATTGGGGTAGTCAATAGTAATTATCTTGGCAGACTCCAAATGGAAGTTGGCAGGAAATAAGACACTGTGAGTGTTGTAATGTCTGATTATTGATTCTACCTAAAAGAATCAACTACTTTCTCGAAGAAGAAATGTGGCTTATTTCATCAAATACAGTCAATGAAGTCTTTAGAGCAAAAAAATAAAACCTCCAAGTAGAATACACTATCTATTCAAATTCTAGTCATTTTAATTTTCTCACTCATAACTAGCGCTATTGTCTCTAGAGCACTGCACACTGGGATTGGCCCTTTGTTCTATGACTCACCTTATGTCTCAATCGACTCGACCTCTACCTGCTGGCCTGAGGGGGCACATGCAAGAGGCCGAGGAGGGCAATGCATTGTGGGAATGATAGTGGCAAATTGAAATGATTAAACATGACTCTGCCTGTCAATCAAAACACAGCAGCACATGCACAGGTGGAGAATGGGAAAGACGTGATGGACAATGCAGGTTTAATTATGGTGTTAATATGTATTGTTTTTGTTAAGGCAACTGTAATAATGTTTAGCGGTATGAGCTAAAGGGAAGAATGCATATAACGTCAGACTATCAAAGAACGTCCCCCATCCTCACCTAAAAGCAAACACAAAAAAAAAATAGAGCAAATAAAGAGAGGCAACAAACAGAAAAGAAACATGAATGTAAAACCATAAAGAAATGAAAAGGCAAGGGTTTTCAACTGGTTAAGCTTCAGGAGGCAGACTTCACTTTGCACATCATCCACAGTAATAACTGTCTGATACAAAAAGTAAACAATTTAGAATATATATATATATAAAAATAAATAAAATATTTATTTCATACAAAAAAAAAATCAATGATATATATATATTTTTTTACGTATATATTTTTGCCTGATTTTTTTATCCTACATATGCATGATTGTTTATTCTTAGCTGCATTTTAGGATTTGCCTGACCAGTTGAAAACCACTGAAAGGAAGCATATGGAAAGTGTAGTATAACAGCATATCCAGAGAGATAATGTTAGTAATGTAATAAGACAGTGTGTGTATGTGTGAACTCTGTGACTGTACATGCATGACCTCATGAATCAGATTTAATAATCAGTCAGTTTTGGACTGCAATATCCTCAGCAAAATTCTCCAGATTTAACGCGGAAGGCCCATTTTATGAACTGATAAAAGCATGCGATTCGCGTTCCTGTGCCCAAAAACAGCCTGAGGTGGTGCCATCTCACTGTCTAGCTCCAGCTTTGTTTGCAGCTGTTCCTTTCGAGTGATATTATGGCTACATTACTTGGTATCTGCAGCTGTCAAGAACAACCATCCTAAATTTTCAGGGGCTTTGGTTCAGGTTTGTCCTTCAGTAAGTGCCTGCAGTTGCACGTCCATAAACCCTTGCGTGTGAGAGTGAACCTGCATTTTGATGCTGCAGATGGGAATGGAGGGGTGTGTGTGCATCAGTGATTCTGCATGAGTCTGTTTGTGATGTTTGCATTGTGGAGAACATGTTGGCGTGTCTGTGTCCATGTGGCTGTGCGTGGCGGAGCACATGAGTGTCGCTGACGTACGGAGTAGATTCTGCTGCATGGAGTCGGACCGGTACAGACTGACAGTGCTCTTCTTAAAGACGTTCTTCAGGAGCTGGGCTCTCTCGGTCAAACTACAGGGAAGGACACAAAAGAGAAACACAGACACAGACATTATTATGCGCATAAGTCTAATTTCTCTTCCGACAGAAGAGCGATTGAATTAAAGACAAACTTCCTGCTGGACAGATGTGTCTCCAGTGAGAGGAGACAGAATGAGCCGGGAGAGCAGCCAGTAGGATCGTTTACACTTGGAGGTGATCCCTGCTAAACCGCAATTTTTGCTTGTTCGGTTTTATTAGGAATTCACGAGGAATGGCCCTCACCTCTTCCCATGCACCACAGCTCCTGGATCTTTGGAAAGCGCCTCCAACTCCTGCACCTCATCAACCAGGGTCTTAAAGCACAACCTTTTCATACTGAGAAAAAATAAACACACACAAAAAATGTTTTTATCCATTGAAACGATAGTAAGCATTTTGTAGTAATGTTTAGTGGTATGAGCAAAGGGGCATCAGACTATCACCAAACATCCCCATTTGACCTAAAAGCAAAATATATATTTATTTTGAGGAACGTCTGCTTGTGCTTGACTAGCTTTTAATTCAAGTGCACCTTACACATTTTGCACCATGTATTTTTTTGGCTCTATGAAGCAAAATTATTATTTTTTTAATCCATTTGGAGGCAACAATTTCTTCTTGTTTACCATTTTTAATTTTAGTAATTGCACTCATAATTTTTGTCTGTTTTTTATGCACAAATAGTAAGCATTTTAAATAACACATCAATGCTTTTAACATTTTATACATGAGAAAAATAAAGGGTCAACCTCTGGTGACCATATAGGAGGAAGTTAAGGGTTGCATGGCTGGCATTGAAGAAACTCAACTCACACTTTGTAGGCCACATCAAACACCAGAGAGGTGATGGGAATAAAGATCAGACCCATCCAGAATACTCCTGAACTGAACATCATGTCCGCCTGGAAAGAGCACACAGACAGACACATGAGAAAGAGCACCAGACAGAATCTGAGACTGATTTCTAAACCTAAAACCGTTTAGCTGGACCCTCAGAACATCAGTACTACAAAGAGCTCAGCTTTCAACCAACAATCTGACCAAAACTAGATGTATTCTGATGTAACTTTAAAAGTGTATGTGTGACAGATGAGAAAGGAGGAATGGGAGCCAGATGAGAGTGGCAGTCATCTAAAGTACTGATCTCAACTGCTAATGGTACTACCCAGATCACCTTTCTAAAGCCCTGCTCCCAAATGATGACCTGACCTGTCAGAATGCCTTTGCTTCATATGATACATGGGAGGCAGTGGAGTAAGATGTCACCATATTTTTAAAAAGGGCTCATCATATTTGGCTGTGTGTGACTGACAGAAACACACACACACAAAAAGAAACAACTGACAAGAATTTTTGTCAAGAATGACAACGTAAAGCGATATAAAAACAAATAAACAGTTTGGGTTCAGTACAGTTTAAAAAAAATAAATTAATTAATTAATACATTTATTCAGCAAGAACTTATTAAAAGTGATCAAAAGTGAAAGTAAAGAAATTCATAATTTTACAAAAGTAAAGTTAAAGTAATTCAAAACAGTTCAAAGAATCCTAAAGATTTTTTTCAAAGCATATTTGTAGCATTATTTAATTTCCCAGTATGTTATATAAGCTTTCTTTCAAATTTAAGCTGTTAGCACATATCCTAAATATAAGTAAGCATTTTATTATAAATAAGGGGGTGAAAATGACATCTTACTTAAATGTGTGTGACAATATGAAATGCATATGAAAGTAAAACTAAAGAAATACTTAATCACTGCATAGATACCAACGCAAATAGTTCAAAGTGCTTAATGTTTCTGCTAAACTATTTTAACCCGGGCTGAGAATAAGTGGTTAGGAAAAAATGTTTTTCAGGCCATTATTAGTGTCATATTAAAAAAAAAAAACAATAGATGAACTCAGGTATGCATAAACAGCACTATCTGTTATCACGGTCAAGATTACCGGATGTTACCATCATAAGTCTTAGAAAGCACTGCATGGTACTAAGTGCAAAACTCAGACACATAAGTCTTCATTACTTGAATCAGTTCATATCTGGAGCAGGATAGATTTCCCAAAAATTCCAAATTGGAACAGAATAAACTTGTTATCTCAAAAATTTCCACAACCAAAACAAATGAATCCTAAACGAGAGCCAAAGCAAGGCAGTCTCAAAACACTCATCTGCCAAAATATACCCATGAATTAAATAAACATGCAGCGAAGAGATTCATCTGTCTTTGACTGGGTGATACCGAGAAAAACAGTGAGGTAATGATATTAAAATCTTCTAAGACATCAATCTATCCGATAATTATAAAACACCTTAACAGAAACATCCAAACTGAACAGTGTGAAAGCCAGTGAGCAGGCAAGGAAACTGGGGAGAGAGACAGAGAGAGAGAGAGAGAGAGAGAAGAAAGGGTTCTCTGTGGTTCCACTGAATCTGATTCACAAGACAGGGATATTCTGGCGTAGGCTACTGGGGTGTGAGATGCAGTCGTTTGCGCTTATCCTGTTTGCTTTGGCCCAGCTGTGTTGAAAATACCTGTCATTAAATGTCAAAGAGCACCGATCCGCCCCCTTGCAATGCTACTCAACATACGTGGTTGTGCCACTTGTTTAAACTCGGCTCTCCAAGACAAATCATCTTCCTGTAATCTAATCCAGTAAAGGACCCAGCACAAAGCCGAGAAGCACACCTGCCTGCAGCAATCTAAACCAAAGTTTCAGGTGTTCCCAAATTAGCTAATCTACTCACTATTACAGGAAAATAGACTTTGATGTCAAACAAAACATCAGGGAGGCAGGAAATCTCAAATGACTGGAAATCAAAATGGCTTCCTCCACCCTATTAATGTCATCTTTGACCCTGAATGAAACAAGTGTTCGGTGTTGCCAAGAGGAATTAGAGAAAATTGTGCACGGGTGAAAAGATATTTATGTCGTGCTGAAATCCAACAGTCCCAGAGGTATAACATGTAATTTTCTCTTTGATAATAGCAGTTTAATCATTTTCATTCGAGGCCAATGCGTTGAACAAACAGACACGATCTGAGGGGCTCAAAGACATTAACTATATAAGTAAAAGGTCAAACTTCCTGTTAAGTTGTGTGTTATAAATACTATTAAAAATCAACAAATACATTCATTATACCACTAATTTTACATTTTAAAATGATAAAGTCAATATTTTCATGCAGTATATTGGTTTTCTTCAACAATTTCTATGGAACAAGTAGAATAAATTCTGGAACAAATACAATAAATCCAGCTTGGTTTTGGGATCGTGCACTGCAGGCCGTAGGTGTATTTTTAGGACAGAATAATAAACCACAGTGGCCTAGTCTCGACTGGCAGTCAAGGGTGTCCGCGTCGACTATTTTGACAGGACATTGACTCCCTCTGTGTCGGCCGGACAAATTCTCAAACAAACATGCCCACATCATGCAACTTCGCTGTTGGAAAACCCCAGTTTAAGCTGGTAACTGTGTTACATGTAGTTTCTATGAGGCCATTAGCAAGCCATGTTAAAAAAAGCAGTTTAAATTGGAAGGACTTTGTTTTTAGCTGGTCCAAGCTGGTAGACCATCTAGGACCAGCAACAAATCCAATGCTTCAAAACTATCAAAACTATTAAACAGTTAAAAAATTATGCTCAATTGTGCAAAGATATGCACACTCACACACAAAAGCTCCCATCCTTTGCCAAAAGCAATCAAAGCACTGAATTAGTTCTCCAAAGCTGGCATTTGTGCCATTTGAAGGGATTTGACTACAGCCATCAAAGGTACCACTGAATGGGATTAGACGATAATGTTACCCTGTAGGATTTGGCCATATTGTAACTGGAACTTGGACAAGAACTGATGCTAAATGGGAATCAGACAAAAACAAACTCATTATAAGCACACACTGTAAATAAGTTGACATGTACACAAATCTTCATTAAATTGCTTTGTCAAAAGTACACACTAACAGACCATTTAAAATCTTCAATCAGGTCTTTCAAAACCTGAAAGCAAACGTTGACAGATTCTATTAGCGCTTAAAACAGGGGAACTGAATCTGGCTGTTTATCATTCAGACCCACGTGGTGACTTCCTCTGGTGATTGACGGGATGGATTAACAATGCCTGGGTGCACTAATCAGTGGTGCAGTGAAACAGCAGAGTTTGGCTGCTCATGCCGGCCAGTGATAATGTTGGCCGAAGAATGTTAATACCATCCATTGTGATGGTAAATTGGAGATGAGAACAATTCAGACATGGTCATTCACCCTCAGCCTGGCCCTTTGGCTTTAGGGACTTAATACTAACGCCTGAGCCATGCCGGCTTTATCCACGTTCACACACACAAAGTCATGTGCAAGAAGAATACAGAATGTTTTGGCCTTTTCTCCCAAAAAAAATAAATATTCCACTTGCAATTAATTCAAAAATGCTTTTAATATAAGCCAAGTCAGTCAAAACGTCTATTGTCAACTTGTGTATATAAACAACCGAATTGCAAATGTTTTATCAATGTTCCTCTGGACGGTTTGTGGTTTTGAATGTGTAGAGCAAAGTCCCGATGGACCAGATGGTGAAATACACGCCTGGATTCCCATCTAAATGTTTGTGGTATTTGAAAGAGAGAGAGAGAGAGAGAGAAAGAGAAAAAGAGCGAGAAGAAAAGCAAGAAAGAGATATCTAATTCCAATAGGGCCTGCAAATACACCAATTCTTGGCTGCTGTCATCTCAAAGCATAAGAGATGGAAGTATTTACATCAGAAGGTCTTTGAGAGTCCAGTATGGAAAACAATCTAATATCCTATCACCCCCATGTTCCACTCTCAGCATGGAACAATCACCATGGACTGAGGGAAATTTAGGAAAAAAAATCAGAAAATACAAGGAACTTAAATAAACAAGTGTGTAGAAAATTAGTCACTCGGTTGGGGGAAAACCATTTATTCACAACACACACACACACACGTTGGGTTTTACAGGGATTTTCCATTGACAATGATTTTTTTTTTTTACTGTACAAACTATATTCTTAGCCTGGCATGCCAGATCTACATCAATATATTAGGTCTGGGAACTCATCATTGACAGGGCTCAATCTGATGGGCGGGATAAATGGTTGTCTTTCAAATTCTCCCAGCACGCAATTGGATAGCGCTACAACCAATCAGAGCAACGAAGAAGGTGACGGCTGAGTCCCATGTGTTTTCCCACCAGCGGAGCAAGTTGATGTATTAAACTTTTAACGTATCTAGTCGGCAAAACTCAGCACACATCTTTAAAAAAAAATGACTCAAGTGCTATTCTTTGTTCTGGTTTCAAAGAAAAGCTTAAGTTCAAATTCAAAAGCCGAATCGAAAGACAGCTGTTCGCCAGCAGCAGACATTTTTTGTTTTCAAGTAGCAGTGAACCGTCGCAACTCTGACGTCATTATGTTAAGCCCGCCCGCCAACTCTAGACACGATGTGATTGGCCTGACCAGAGTTTGGTTTTTCCAGCTAAAACGTCTATGGAGAGTTGCTAGACCACACTGGCTGCGAAATAATTTTTGCTGCCGCTAGGGTGCGTCTAGATTTCTAGGCTAGTATATTCTATCCCCTGGCCCTAAACCTACCTATCACAGAAAACTCTTTAAAAATTTTTTAAAGACATCATTCTGTATGATTTATAAGTTGTTTTCCTCATTCGGAGCAAACAATTTCCCCACAAGGTCAAAAACTACTGGACATTTGGTATTCCCCACAACATAGGGTTAACCAGGACCCAATTTAATTTAAACCAGGATCTAATTTATACCTGGAAATAAACAGCAACTTCTAGGACTCCTATGGAAAAAAATGTAAAATCAATTTATGACATAAAAGGATAAAGAACATTTTATGTACTATTTCTAGGTCTCTATAATTAAATAAGCAAATCTGTGGCATCAGATCAGATCATGTGAACTCATTTTAGATATTCTTACTTCCATTGTATTATAAGATGCTATTTGGATCATATCAAATCATGCTGGAAAAAAAAAAGTCTTATGCAAACTTGTGGATGCATCTTGAGTGCAACTGTTATTAAAGCAAGTCATTCTGAAATTCAAAAATATAATATAATTTTGTAATGAAAAAGAATTTAATTTAGGGAGGAAATGACTAAAAATAATTATATAATGTATAAATGTGTTTCTTTTGGGCCCTAGTAAATATAATGATAATGACATGAACATGAAGTTTCAAAAAGAGAAGACGGGCTCACACACACACATACACACTGTTTCCAGTAAGCAGTGTAACAAGAGCAGCAGTAGTTTTTTGATAGGGAGAGTGAGGCTCTAAAGGTGAAATCTTGTACATCAAAGAGAGTGGAACAAGATGAATGGCCTGTCTCACACAGATACCAGGTGCACTTGAATAAAACAGACCTGTCTGCTGCATTCAATGGAAGAATGGAGAGGAATGCACCACAGAACCCCTTCAATGCAGCTACATCTAACGGTTACATCACGTCTCTGCCACCTAAAGATTATTTTATGCATCGTTGTAGGGCTTGTTTTATCCGCTGCGACTTTCTTTAGAGTGTTATCTAAATCCTGCATGCCTTTGGATGCCGAATGTTATGTGCATCTATTCAGAAATGCATTCATGACATGGCTGGCTGAATGTGTGTGTGTTTTTAACAGGTGTGTGAAAAGAGAAGAGCTTTGTAATGGCAGGGGAGATGATAGTTGGTTAATCGGTAGGCTCTTGATGTCGAGCACAGTATCTTAAGTTGACTTGAGTGGGACATGGTGTGATAAGACTGTCTGAACTGCTGCGGCAGAGTATATTGTTAACATTCATTATTTGAGGATGTACAGCAACTCGATTCTACTAAACTGACAATAAAGTGCAGCCTGGACACATGAGATGCTGTCAATGATGTCATGAACGGTGCAAAAAGCACGTCCCACACTTTCATGGTTTCTCTCGGTCTCTGGGCAGCACTTTTTTTTATCAGTTTCCACAAAAACAGCATAACTATTTTTTTTTTATATTGATTTTGGAAGGATCTTGTGACACTGAAGACTGGGATAATGATTCTGAAAAATCAGCTTTGTCATCACAGGAATAAATTACTGTATGGATAAAAATACAATTCAAATAGAAACCGGGTATGTTAAACTGTAAAAATGTTTCAAAAACATTTAAAAAAATCAAATTCGCCCCAATTTTCTGAACGATACTATACCATAATAATTGATACATATACTATGGTAATTTTATGGCTCCATGGCACTTCAAAACAATGTCCAAATAATGATGTGTGAGTGTGGCAATTCAGCTAAATAGGTTTAACAGTGTGACATGTCATTTATTGATTTTTCTATTTCTTAGTCTCTCTCTTCAGCCCTTCAGTGAGCAGTGGCCACAATCAGAGATGGCTGTGAGGTGGCCCAGGGTTCAGGTCTGTTCAGGTGCGCCCTCTCTCAGGTGTCCCCAATGCTCTGCTTTAGTGCTGTTGCTATGGTTCCCCTCGGCATTGAGTTACCCTGAGCCTCTGGGGTCTGATCTACTCTACTACCCTACATGTAGAGTGAAAGAGCTGATAAAAGAGCCCACTTGACTGGCCATTCAGGACGGGTGTGCAGGACACACGTGAGAGGAAGAGGCTACTGTTTCACAAAGCCAGATGCTGGGATAATTTTTTTTTTTTTTGCTTTTGGGATTATGTAGAAAACAGCAACAACGTGTGCGAACAGAGTGTTCTCATATTGTTGTCCAGATTGTAAATAAATAACAAAAATCAACAAAACCCATACAAAAACACATAAGTGTTCAGTCTGGAATCCAGGACTCTTTTCTCACACAAGCTGATGTTGATGTTTTCATACTGCTCTTCCTCACAGGTGACACAAATAGAGCTTATTAGACCCCATTAGGAGATTATGAGGTGAGAAAAGAGCCGAGACCTGTGGTGCCCCGAGGCCTGACGGAGGTGTAGAGTTTCCTGAGTCCTGCTCCCCCTAATGAACACACACAAACTCTTAATGCTCAGATTATAGCACAGATAGTGTAGAGCCCCAGGCCAGAGAGAGGGTGGTCTGTGCGTGTTTTAAATCTCCTGACACATCCAAGAACCCCAGGGGTGAGGATGGGCTGTGTGTGTGTGTTTTTTTTTATTTTTTTTTTTAGCTCAGCTGTATTTAGAATAAAACAAACTAATAATAATAAATATATACATAATAAATAAATACATAAAGAAAGAGCAAAGGAAAAAGTTGTTCATAAAAATAATCAAATAACTACATTCAAATTACTTAGTCAAATTATAATTAATTTAATATAATCCTTAAAAGCAATACACATAGCATCAATACAGATTTATTTGTTAGATTTAAATTATTGAGATTAAAATGTGTGTCTGCTTCTTAACTTGCAGTACTTTTTTAGTTGTTACTGTAAATGCATCCCAATAATTTGCTAAAACCTACTAAAGGCTGTGATATACTTCAAGTAAAGATACTTGATTTTAAGCTAGCTTGATTTTATGTATTTATTATTGAGTGAGGAGAGTGCGCACAAAAAAAGGGGATATTAAAAAACATTCACTTCTGTTCAAAAGTTTGAAGTTTTTTTTTAATGGTGCATTTATTTGAGCAAAACCACAGTAAAAACAGTAAAATTGTAAAATATTATTACAGTATTAATATATATATATATATATATATATATATATATATATATATTATATAATTTATTCCTGTGATGGCAAAGATGAATTTTCAGCATCATTACTCCAGTCAACAGTGTCACACAGTCCTGATTGGTTCTCAAGAAGCATTTATTTTTTATCAATTTTGAAAACAGAGAAGTGATAATTAATATTTTTGTGGAAACCTTTGCAAGTTTTTTCAGCATTCTTTCTTAGATGAATTTTTAAGAGTAGGTTTGTAGAGTTTTTGTTGTCACTTGTACTGTAACTGTAAGGACTTACCTCTCCTGACATATCCGGGGCAAGAGGAATCAGAGGCCAGAGAGAGGAGTAGATGCCAAAGAAGACTACCCACAATCCAATGCTGCCCCAGATGGCAATGTGGCTGAACTAGAAGTCAGAAAAGATTAGAGAAAATACTCGAGTTGAGGAGAGACATCACTCTGCTGATATTAATGCCTGATACTCAAGACAGAACAAAACCTCATTTGAGTGATGCATTATAATTTGAAACGAGTAACATACATAACAAAAACCTTTAACACACACATGCTAAATCACATGTGTGCACATATGGGAGCATGTTACACCCATGTGTTTTTGTTTAATCACATGATCAGTAAGCGTTTGAGGCTTGAAATTTGCACATGTGAAACCTTGGTACCACATGTGAATGTTCCAAAACCACACAAACATGTGATTTTGAGAAAATTTACACTCGCAAAATAAAGTGAAAAAGACCTTTCCGCATCTGAATTGTGCACATTTTTCACATGCACAAGGCCAGATTGTAAAGGCGAGTACATTTGGTTAAAAAAGTTCAAATTCAACATGCAAATACTGCATTACGATGACATCATTGCTTTTGATTACATTTTATGCTGAGTTTTTGGCTCGCAAGAACTGTAATAATAGTAATACAATATCTAATAGTAATACAATTTCAGCACTGCACTATAACTGAATATCTGAATAAAATGTTTTCATTAGCGATGCAACATGACATCATCCTTGAATTCTCTGAACTTTTTCCATGACATCAGCTGCAGAAGAAAAGGGTGGGTGAGAGGAGTGAGAAGGGGTGGAGGACCGTGTTTCTACTGATGGATGGACAATGAAGTGAAAGGAAATGGGAGGACACAGTGAAATGGGACACAAAAGAGAGAGAGGCATGGAAAGAGTCATCCAAACGCTCACCATGGTCCAGGACGACGTCTCCAGCCCAGCCTTCAGACACACCGTGATCACAACAAACTGTGTGAGAGAGAGACATGTTCTTATCTGAGTTTGCATACACACAGAAACAGATTAGATTATAAAGACCCAAGACCTAATGAGAGACAGTCGGTTGACAGGAACTTCCAAACAGTGAGCATAAATAGTTGGCAAAAAGAGAGTGAAAATCATCAGTGCAGCCAGACTCAGCACAGAAGGAACATTTCACAGCAGGACAACCGGGACAAAGTGTCGGGCGACGGGCAGGACACAGACAGTGCTTTGTGAGGATCTGAGGGCCAAAATGCACTTACTGTATAAACCATGTTGCCTAAGAGGAGATAGTCTGGTGTCTTTCCGTTTCCAAAGACGGTATCTGTGAGGAGAATCAACAAGAAAGCTTTTAGAGTGAAGGATCACATGCTAACACACATACGTACATACACAGGTCAGAGGGACGGTGCTAGATAATACTCCATCAAGATGTTGAGCTCAAGAGTGCTCTAATGCTCACGTTTAAAGACAAGAATACCAGGACAAAGACTGTTTACATTGAAAGAAACCACCCAAAAATGAACCAAAAAGAATTATTAAGCTACAAATGCTGTTGATGGCGGGTTTTTTTTTTCAACATTGGTTAAAAATGTTTTTATTTTAATTCTCTTCAAAGCTTTTATGCACATCGAGGGTCAGATCAATGGTCTAGTTGAATTCACTCTTTCTCTCCATTTCCCATACTGAGTGGCAAAAGACCAAAAAAGCTTTTATGTAAGTTTAATCTGTACCAACAAGCTTGTAACAAAGCATCCTTCTCACATGACACACCTGTGCTCCAATGGTCATGTGAATAAAAGGTAATGGCGGGTGTTAAAAGAGCTGATGACAGCCGTATACAGAGGTTTTCGAGAGGATTTCCCCAAACCATTAAGGATTAATTGACCGTATAGATAAGCTTGGTTTTCTCGAGTTTTCAGGATGATAGTTTTTGGCTTGTGCTAACTGTTCAGCAAACATTTCCGATTAAATAGTAAAGGTTGCCTAAAATCTGGGAAACTCGTACGCAAAAGTGCACACATGCCAGTGTGGTTTAGTGCAGGAGCATTAGTCAACTTTGATTGAAAGTTCTTTGATTCCGCTCCGGATGATCCAAAACCATCAGCACTCTGGCACAACGAAACACAACGGACACCACATGTGGATCAGGAAGGTGTGTGTATGTGTGTGTGTGTGTGTGGTGCTGACAGACTGTCAGTCAGAGAGAGTCTCCTGTGCTTTGTTTAAAGAGCAGGTCTGATTCTGACTGTGTGGTCCTGCAGTCAGCCAGATATTTGTGCTGACACACACACTCGGTTCACATACTTGACACTCATTTATGCATGCTTACACTTACGAAGACATGTAAAGACCATAGAGCAATTTATTAAACTATACAAAAAAAAGAGAGAGAATGGTCTCATTATTTACTGTCAAACCCACCATATATGTAGTCCATATGACTTGAAAGCTACAATCTAAGTCTTTGAAAGTGTATGATATATTTGGGTAAATTTAAAGACCAAAAATACAAGTCAATGACTGAAAAATCACAATATCTGTCCTTGCTCTCTTTTGCACATTAGCAAGAGGAATAGTGATTTTTGAGTCATTCTGTTGAGTTGAAATTTTAAATTAAAAAGCGGATCAATTTCACAAAACTTATGAATGATTTGTTCACAATCCAGACTGATTTAGTTCTCAAGTTTAACAAGCATCCTTTATTGAAGCCTCACTTATTTTGGAAATAGGCTCATTTTACAACTCCCTCAGAGTAACAGTTGAGTTTTACCGTTTTCAAATCCATTGAGCCGATTTTCTGATATTTCGAAGAATATCTGTAACCAGACAGTTTCTGGTCTCATTGACTTCCATAGTAGGAGCAAAATATACTATGGAAGTCAATGAGACCAGAAACTGTCTGGTTACTGATATTCTTCTAAATATCAAAATATCATCTGAATACATTAGAAAACGGTAAAACCCAACAGTTTAACTCTGGGGGAGTGGTAAAATGAGCCTATTTCCACAAAAAAATTGGAGTATCCCTTTAACAGACCCATCCCTCATTCCCATTCATTACAGTATATTAATAAAGTTATCAGAATATTTTTTTAAAACCACTGCCATTAACTATTGCTGACGGAGTATGTGGATATGGAGAAAGTGTGTGTGTGTGTGTGTATAGGAGCGAATGATCTGAGATATTCATGGTGGCCAATGAGAAGCAATTAAGCTGAAGCGAGAGTAGGCCAGTCTTTCACTATGACACCCACTGACCTGAAAACAAAAAAACAAAACTAAAAGTAGTGTGTGTGTGTGTGTGTGTGTGTGCTTACCATGTTGGAAGGCCTTCAGGGGGAACCAGAAGAGAATGACTGAGTGAAACAGGCCGTTCAGACAATGAGCCCAGAAGACCTGCAGCAGAGTGGAGGAGGGAAAAAAAAAGAGAGGCATGAGAAAGATGATGGCCACCCTAACCCTGTCGGTGACCCCTGACCCTGGGCCTTTGTGCACTCTCAGCGCTAGGCTAAGTGGAAGGTTTGTCAGGCCTCCCTGCTCAATGGCTACCCCGCTGACAGACACTTTGTATATCCTGTGAGTGTGGAGAGACCAAGAAAAAGGGAGAGGAAGGCAAGCCAACTATATGAGAGATGTCAGTAAGGGGTGTTTTTCCGCCATCCCTTCTTTTTCCCAGCAGTTAGTTGCCTCATCGAATTTCTTAAAAAAAAAAAAAAACCCAAATCCTCATGGATCATTTTAGTACAAACACAGACAAGTTTAAGAAATTAAGATGTATGAGTGTGTCGCTACAGTGCATGGTTATTTGGGAGCATGGAAAAACTATCGCTTACACAGGTACGACATGAAGTCTTTGAGTGTCCGCGTCTGTATACATGGGCGTGTGGACTTTGGATGTGCCATTTAAACAAATATCCTTCTCCAAAACCGCCTTGTTTTGAATTTACATTATGCAAAGACAAGGCCAATCAAAACACTAATGGGCGATGTAGCATGAAACAGCAGTGAAATGAAATCAGGCACGTCACAGGTCTAGTTTCCAAACCCTGTATTTTTCCCCCCAGCATTGCTCTTTTCACCTCTGCAAAGACTGAGACTGTTCACTGCCCAGAGACACAACAGATTACCTCTATATTTATAAGTAAAACAGCATAATATTTGTTCTGAAAGTCAACGGAATTAAAAGGTCAATTTCTTTTTAACATTAATTCACTAAAAAATAAATAAAAATACATTTCTCCATATGATTTTTACATTTTATTGTAATAAATGTAATAAACAAAATTTGCATGGCAATGGCAGTGAGGTCCAATTTATGAATTAATTCATCCTTTTAACTGGTTATTTTCTAATTAAAATAAAAATGATTCACAGTTGCTAAAAAGGAATAGTTTTTTTTTTAAATCGTTAACGGTATCACTTTATTTTGGTCTCTCTCTTTTAAACATTGTTAGTAACTTTGCAACTACATGTCAACGGACTGCCGTTAGAGTATTTGTAGACTGTCTGCTTCAAATCTGCTAACTCTTTATTGTGATGCTCCTCCAACAGACAATCTACTGACTATATGTAACTTGCAAGTACATGTCAACTTATTCTAACCCTACGAACTACTAAAACTCTTATTAAAGTTAGTAGACATGTAGGTGCAACATTACTTAGTTAACAGAATATATTGATTACCAAAAACCAGGACACTCGGCCCGGCAAACAGATACTCAAATGATACTCAAAGTTTACTCCAAGAAGACTTATTAATTTCAATAAATTTAAAGTAAGCTATGTAAGCTAAAATGGTTATATTACAAGACACAAATTCAGATAGGCTTCTCAGAGGTTATGCAACATGTTTTATTATGACAGGTTTCAAAAATAATGAATGAAATAATGATAGAAATAATGTCTCTTCTGTATTAGAAAAATAAATATATAAATACTAAGCAACTAAAAGAAATACCACCTAATTGAACAAAAATAGCTCTCACAAACTTACAAAAACGAACTAACAAAATATATTTATATCTTTAGTTTTCTTCCTCTTTATCCTGTTTTTCTTCCTCATCCTCCTCGTTTGCCCATCTATATTTTGCTGTAGATCTGATCTTTGAAATTTTCAGCATTTTATAAAAACAACCAGGACCATGTCCATGAAAACAGGACATGTCCTGGGAAAACAGGACTGTTGGTCACCCTATGTTAAAGGGACCATCAAAATAAAGTGAAACTGTGTCAACTTCTACACTAATGTCCCTCCAACACTATTATTTCTATGACTAAGGACTCCCATATAATAGATTTCTGCGAGGAAACTATGCGAGAAACCAACACAAATTTCATTTTTAAGTGATGAACTATAATTTTAAAATCACTGTAAAGTAGAACCAGCATTTAATAGAATGTAATTTTGTCTTAACAAATGTTAAATAATCCTGTGGACAAATGAGAACGTTAACAAGTTACTCAAACAAAATCAAATATCTCACACACTTCATTCAAAAGTATGAGATCTGTAAACCTCCTGTTCTTTTCCAGCGGCCATTACTTCACTGTCACTAGGTGGTAACCCAAAGTCTAGCAGAAATGTACTGATTAAAAATACAAAATTTGAAAATCTGTACGTTAACACTCAGTTTCTTTGCGCTAACACCACTACCACAAGTTTTTCCAAAGCTAACAGTGTGTGGAGGCCATGAAATCTCTTGAGGGGGATGGGATGAAGAGAAATGAAAGAAAATAGAGAGAGTGAGAAAAAAAAAAAAAAAGAAATACCCTGAGATTGTCTTGTTCCGTGTTGTTTCACAGAGGCCCTGTACGACCTCTTGGCCTCCATGCCCTGACCCTCTCACCTCCGGTATCGGTAAAACAAAGCTCAGGGCCCTGGCCCGCAGACAGTCGGGCCCATCCTACACCCACAGAAGGGCACTTGTGGCACACCCCTCCTATTCTTTAGAATTAGTGGTGTTTGCCAAGGTCATACTTAAGTTTTTCTCATAGTAAGCAATAAACATCAATGCACACACACACACACATAATAAAATCGTGGTGAGCTAACGCGGATACATTTTCAGGCAAAAAAAGGTCAACAGTGTTGTGATGCATGAAGCACAACAAGCATCTGAAACTTTTGCTTGTTGTGCTTCTCACATCAAACTCACAACAAGCATCTGAAACTTTTGCACAAACAAAGTGGCTTTCTATCAACAAGTCCAAATTCTCATGAACAATTTGTTGCAAAAATTGTGTGGCAAAAATCCAGTTTGCGTGGAATCCAAGCGGCAACATTCTAATCTAAAAGATGAAGCCTACCCGGAAGTGCGATAAACTGCAATACATCTCAAATCCGCTAGAGGCCGGTCCCAAAAGGGAGCAAATATCCATAAACGTCATGTTATAATGTCCGTTTTCACAGCATAAATTCATATGTTTACAGTTTGGTCCCATGGACTTTTATTGTAATCTTCAATATGTTCCGCGTGCCTGACAACTGTGAGGGGGGTTAATTTTTTTCTAACTCGTTAGTTTAGATCATATTTAGATATACAACGTATGACAAATAAGGGCGGTTAACTTTGACAGCTGATAACGGGCTGCGCCGAGTGAATTTGACGTCTTGGCCATGACACATCATACCACCTCTGTATCCTTTCTGAAACTTTTGTATTTTTCCAAGATTTTCCAGTATGGCGCCGCCCATACCCCCCATAAACAGCTTCAAACCCATTCTTCAGAGAGTCTATGGGTGACGTCACAGACGCTTTGTCCATATTTTTTACAGTCTATGGTCGAATCCTATTGAAATGACAGGATTTTGCCCACAAAAAAGTGCTGTAAATGTGACCACACCTTTACATTAAAAGTGGGACTTGAGAATACTTTTGTTCTTCTGACCTAGCAACCATCCAGAACATTCATTCAAGAAATCAAAAAATCAATCAGAACACCTTAACAACCACATAGCAATGCCCAAGCAAACAATCCCAAACAAAACACGGTCCAAGTAACATGGGGAACAACCTGTTCTCCCTCGCCCAGTACATTACACACACAGTCCTGCAATGAATGCTAATGAAATCAATAAACGTTCATAATCGTTTGTCACAGGGAGGCCCCAAACTCCTCCGTTTCTAAGCATGTTCCTAAGAATGTAGGTGTGAATGGCCGTCTGTCCTGCCTGAAGCAAAGCGCTGCGTTCTGTGTGACAGCTTAATTGCTTAAACTAGCATGAAAGGATAAACTTTATTTTACGGCAACTATTGCCAAACGCCCTAATAAGCCTTCTCCAACTATGTTGGGCTACAAATAATGCCGGACGGGGATGGAATGAAAGAGAGAAAGAGGATGGAGAACGCAGTGCGTTGAATGAGTGCAATAACAGCCATCCAGGGGTCTCCGAGGGGCTTTGCCGTTATTAGGGAGACTTTAGTAATTCAAAGTGAAAAGGGACACTGTGGGTAAAAACCTAAATATTTCACATCCTTTCAGTTCCTCCCCAAACTAAAACATGATCTTCTCTCTCTGCTTCCACAGAGACTTGGGCTACGTTCACAGTGCATTCACGTTCATACAGATGCTATTGTAAGTTGCTGTGTGAACGAGACATTTCGAGACAAGTCATTCGCAAAAACTGACCTTGACTAACAAATAAAGTGTCTGTTCTGTACACAGATGACAAAGAAATCTAAAACAGGGAAGGCGGACATGTCTAATGTTTCCAATAAAATCTACATGAACACTTCTATTTGTAAATCAGATTTTTACTTAAATATATAAATAGGAAAGAATTGTATATTTTATTGTATATTATAGTCTTTGAAATTAAAGATTTTTCCCTTTTGAACAATTAAAGAAAGAATTATGGTGTTTGTGTTACAAATGGCCCTGTAAATCTGTCTCTCGCTCTCTCTCCCTCCTGACCCCAGGGGCTGTGTTGTGTGTAATCCGTGACAGTGTGGTGGTAAATGGGTCTCCACGCCTGTGGAGCAGTGCTGTGAGGTGACACCAGCGCAGACACGCCGGGCTGAAGACCAGACAGCTTTATTAACACAGAGAGACGCAAAGCCAGCAGTCACAGACACCTAGAGAGGCCTATATAGGATAATTGTCCTACATAGACTTAAAGGGATAGTTCACTTTGAAATCATTTTTTATATGTTTTAGCTTACCTCAAGGGCATCCAAGATGTAGGAGTCTTTGTTTCTGCAGTAGTTTCAATTTTGATATTTTTAGGTCAAACCGTTCTTGTCTATCAGTCATATAATGCAGGTCTATGGTCACCACCTCAAATTAAAATTAAAGTCCAAATTAAACATGACTTAATGACTTGTAAATGCAAGTAAACATTGATGGCCTAAGACATGAAACGAGTGGTTTGTGTGAGAAAACGAACAGTATTTATATTGTTTTTACCTCTCGTTAACACAGACACAAAGCGCCTTCAGATCACTTGGATGTGGCTGTGGTTACAAGAGGTAAAAACAATATAAATACTGTTCATTTTCTCACACAAACCGCTCGTTTCGTGTCTTAGGCCATCAATGTGTACTTACGAGTCATTAAATCAGGTTTAATTTGGACTTCTCTGTGCATGCTCTTTGAGGTGGTGACCATAGACCTGCATTATAAACGACTTGACCTAAAAATATCACAATTGAAACTACTTTACAGATCCAGTAAATGTCCATAAAAAGTAGAAATGTGATAAAACTTTGACTCTTCTATTCTCACATTGACATTTCACACATTATAGAGGTGGAGTTCATAATTTTGAAAGACTAAATCAGGAGTATCCTCATATGCAAACATATTAGACACTGTGGATAAAGCTTCACATTCATTACTGGCTTGGAAGAGTTTATGACCATCTAAAAAGGGAGATGAACACTCAAAGACATCTCAGATAAGCAGAAAGGCTGATAGAGAGGGAGAGTTTAATGGATGCATAAACCAACATGGTCCTGCTGTTGACCTGCTTTTTTTACGGTGTGGAAAGTCGTAAGAGGATCTGTTTGTTCAGTGGTGCTTTTAGTCAGGGTGCCAAACTGTTCACCAAACAGGTCAGCAAAGTGTCCTACACAGCATGACCTGTCTACAGGGTCATCACCATCAATGAAAATACCTTGTGCTTTATGTTTTAAGAATCTTTAATACTTTAATACAATTATAAATATGTTTATCTGGCATTGAAATCATTCCCCAATCAATGCTCTGTTAATCTCTTCAGCACAATCCCTAATGGAGGTTCAGCTAAACTTAGATTTACATGGCATGCTTTTTCACTTGTGTACTTACCTTGGTGTTAAAGCCCATTGCATTCTGGGAGGTTTTGTAGAGTTCAGGGTATTTGAGCATGTTCTCTTTCCTGCAGGAGCGCTCGAAGATGCCAAGGGTCAGAGGAGGCAAAGCCGTAAAGATCTAATAAATACACAATCACAGAAAATGTAAGAATTGAAATACTAAATAAAAAATCTGGAAACTAAACAAATGAAACAATGTTTAATCATGCAAATAATATAACTTATATATTATATAATTTATAATGAAAATAAATTGTACTCCAAAATGTAAAACAATAATTCATTAGTAGTTTCAGGCCCCGTCTACACTACTGCGTTTTCGTTTAAAAACGGAGACCTTTTGCTATGTTTGCACCTCCCGTCCAGACTAAACCGGTTTTAGTGTAGACGGGACAAAACGGAAGAGTTTAGAAACGATGACGCAGAGGCTGACGCTCGGCTCTATGATTGGTTGTCATCAGTCATGACGTGTCCTTCCCTGATTCGTCAGCCACTGTTTACACCGGCACGCGCATGCCCACTGTTGGTGAATGGTCACGTGATTTGCGTTTTCAGTCGTTTTAATGTGGATCAAATCTAAAACGCAGATAAAACGGTGTTGTGGACAGAGACCATATTCGTTTTAATTCTCTGTTTTTAAACGAAAACGCAATAGTGTGGACGGGACCTCAGACTACTGTTTCCCCACCACCACTGAGATGATATCCTAAGATATTAGTCAAAAGTTGTCATCGAATGAATGAATGAATGAATGAATGAATGAATGAATGAAGGAACACCGAATTAACTAATGAAAGAAAACCTACTGAATGAAACTAAACCGAATAAGTAAATGAAAGAAAACTGAAGGAATACAGTACATAAAAACTAAATACATTAATGAATGAACGAAAGAAAACCGAATGGACGAATTAAAGAACAAAAAAATGCATGAATGAAAACCAAGTGAATAAATAAATTCCCCCCCAAAAATAAACACCTAAAAATTCAAAGCAGTCAAAAAGGACTATTTCCAAGCCTGAGCACCAGACATTTTCATTTGCTTGCTTGGTGCAGCTCAATGAGCATGTAACTTTCTGGCATTTATCATATTTGCGCTCCTCACTCCATGTGCAAAAACGATTCTGAACGAACATCTGCCACTGTGCCTGCAGCCTGTTAGCAGATCTCCTGGATGCTTTCATTTATCTGCGGTGCTCTAACGTTTCTTCATGCAGCAGCTGTTGAAAGCGAGAGGGGTGGTATTATGGTCCAGGGAGGGTTGCGGGGTCGGCTAAAGTAAGTGTCTCTCATTGGCCCAGCTGGAGCTGCCTGGCTGTGGTTGACATGGTCTGCTGGGCTTCTCCATTCAGGGGTGGTTTCGGCCTGTTGCATCCGACAGACCCTCTCTGACGTGATGGAATTCCTCCTCTCTCAGATAAAGAGAGAATGCACCGGTCCGAGTTGTTACGGGCCTCGCAACGCCAATGATCCATTACATGGGTCTGACGGGAAGCCGTGTTTAAATTTTGTTCTTTGTTCAGGCGTAAAGAAATAATTTCTCGGGACAATCAGCGAGTCGGGTGGCCAAGTCATTTTTCCTGCTGCGTATCTTCGATTGTTTATGCGAGGTGGAAAAATCTCCTCCACCCGAAGCGTTTTTTTTCCTTCTTTTTTCGAAATAACTTTCCATCCTGTTGAAAACATGTTAATTAACATGATCAATTCCTATCACTAAACCCTAAGGCAGCCCAGTTCATCGGACTCCACCCAAACGGCCATGTGTGTGTATTTAAATGTGGCTGGATTCAACCTGTTCCTTTATCATCCACCGCTGACCTGTTTAACTCGGTTCGTTCGGGTATGAGAGTCTGTTGTTGCAGCACATTCAGGACATAGTTCTGCGCACGGAGGGAATATGGACTTGACAAGCGGTCATAAATAAGAGGGAGATTTTTCATGATGGCGCTGACATGGGCCGCAGCAAAGGAGCCGTCTGGGGTGCCGCGGCTAATGAGTTTCTTGCCTGAGCGATACAGGGGAGGTGTTTTAACACATTCCCTCTCACAGTAATGAAGAGGGGAGAGTAAATCACACACACAGATGTGCGAACGCAAACACATGCACGCACACACTTACCACGTTGTACAGGCCGATACACCAGCGCTCAAAGAGAATCTGACCGGAGAAGCCGTTCACAAACGCGAACCAGATCTGAAAGACAAAAATATATCAATTGGTAAATGACCCATGTCAATATTTAGAACAGGATTCACAGTTTTACTCTTAGGTATAAGGGAGAAAAAGAAGTAAAAATGACAAAAATGTTATTTAAAAAATGTATATTTAATAATAATAACAACATAACACTAATAATATTTAGTTTATAAATATATAAATATGAAACCAACTGAGAAAAAAAGCATTCAAAAACAAGAAACAATTAAAACCAGTCGTTTAGTACATATAATGAAATGCATTGACCCCCACCCCCCCAAAATAATAAAAAAAAGTAACTATATGCTTCCCAGGTTGTCCTAAAGGAAATGGTAACATATTAAAAGGGCAATGACAGACCATATGATAATCATTACTACATAAATGTGTGACTAAAAGGTAAATATATACCATCATTAATCATATATTCCCCACTTTGTGTGAGCTTAACTCTGGCTCCAAGCGGATTTTAATTTAGGTTGAGCGATGGCTGTTGTTTTCTGTGGGGCCTCTCGGTGCTCGAAATTACCCAAGAGAGAGTGATCTCTCATGAAACCGGCAGTGAACTGACCCCATCAGGCCTTTCTACAGTCTCATACACTGGATCACTGCAAATGGTTTGTTCCAAGATCAGTCTTGCTGGATAAATTAGGTTTTGGGTCTCTTTTTCATACATACATTGGGGACCAAAAGTCACAGACCACTCTTGAAAACAATACTGCTGTACATTTTTATAAAATAATATTTTTTTGAATGCAAGGAAGCAAAGAAATACAAACAACCCAATATAGACCAATAAAAATAAATAAAAAATACTTATTACATAAAAAATAAACTTATTAATATAAAAAGATAAAAAAAAATGTATTCAATACTTTTTTGATACACATTTAAATAAATGAATGGAATAACATATATTACAGTATATTTTGATGTAAAGATATGTGAGATATGTAAGAACAGTTAAGCTCCTGCTATAGCAAATATACTGCTACGGTTTTCAAAACATCTAAACATAGAGAAGCTCCACTATCTTGTCATGCGAAGCCACAACCCGGACTTAACACATCATTACTCAGCGGACAGCCCTGGGCGTTAGTGCTGGAGGGGTGTGTGTGTGTGTGTGTGTGTGTGTGTGTGTGTGTGCGTGTATGAGTGAGTGAGTGAGTGAGTGAGTGAGTGAGAGAGAGAGAGAGAGAGAGGGAGGGGGGGGGGGACTTCAACAGATCCCATGAATTCAGCAAGAGGGGATCAGAACGTACCAGCTTTCCCACCCAGTGTTTCATAGCAGAAACAACTGATCACAGATCAGACTTTCTATCACATAGCACAAATTACAACAGTACAAAAACAGCGCAAAATGACTAGATTTAACAATTTAAAAAAAGGAAAGATGTGAGTTATTGAGTTTGAGGGTGGACCAGGGAGAAGACCACAAATGAAAACGAGAAGAGAGAAAAATGTATATCTAAACCATATGCCATGGAGTTCATCACTTAATACCTCTATCAGTTCAACTTGTCTTACACATAACTCTGTCATAGTCATGTAGAAACTGGAGAATGTGATAATATCACACAGCAGCTGTTATAAAGACAGCAATTTAGAGTGGAAAAAACAATCATAGTCAAAAATCCAGTGTCAGAATGGAAAAATGAAGACAAATCAGATATGGCAGAACAAAGGGTCATTGATATATACAATTTTAATAAGACAGTTCTCCAAATATGTTCACCATTTTAAAATACCGTTCAAGTTTGGGGTGTGTAATTTTATGCTTCCCAAATCGGTACTTAATTGATCAAAAATAGGGTAGAAGTATTATGAAATATTATTACAATTTAAAATTAGTACATCGTTTTAATATAGTTAAAAGGTCATTATTTCTGTGATGGCCAAGCTGAATTTTCAGCATCATTACTCCAGTCCTCAGTGATCCTTCAGAAATCATTCCAATCTGCTGATTTGTTGCTAAAAAAAAAGGTTGAAAACTGTTGTGCTGCTTTATCTTTTAGTGGAAACCATTAATTATTTTTCAGGATTTTTCCATGAATACAAAGTAGTGATGAGTGATGATCCGTTACTTGAGTCAAAGCCCGCTCAATTTTTGCTTTCTGCTGTATTTTGGACCACATTTATTGTGAAAATATCCTTGTGGATGTGTGTGAGAGACTCGACTGTTGAGCAGACCCCAGGATTACTGCGCAGTGCCACGGGCAGGCGGACATTTCCCCGCTTCATTTAACTCCATTATGAAAGCGTGAATTGCTACAAATTTTTGGGGGTTTTGACAGGACCCCCTCCGACTGCAGCTCCCGCCGGTCCTCATACACCAGCCCCTCATTTAATAGAGCGAGCCAATGCGTGAAAATGTTCCCAAAACAAATGTCTGTCACCCCTCCCCTCAGGCCGCTTCGCAGAGAAAGAGAGAGAGGAAGAGAGGAGGATTGGCCGCACTCCCCCGATCCAACTCCCATTTTCCTTTCCATCAGGTGCATTCTACCGTGATATTGTTTTTAAAAGAGATTTGCTGCTTCTGAAAACCTTTTGCACACAGCAACATGAATAAATGACCAATGTCACATCACACACACTATGTTGTTTTCGTCCTCAAGCAAATTCTGGACTTGAGAAATCCCTCACACACACACACAATTTGATCAAAGGCCGCACGAAACACCACATAGTAGTGGCCAACAGCATGCTGGTAGTCAAACAGGTGGGTCAGAGAGCTGAATTAATGAGAGTCTGCTTCATTGAGGGGCTACGGGCTGCAGGATATTGTTGTGCTAAGTCAAAATAAAGCCTCTATTCATGAGCAGCAGTACATGCATATGAGAGAGCGTTTTGGCCTGGTCCTCAGGGTCCTGTGAGTGCCCCTCTCCAGCTTCCTTCAATGAGACAGATTCATTGATTTGCTCATTAGGGAGCGAGGACATAGTGTGGAGGGTTCTCTCTTTCTTCTCCTCCTCTGGCTCATTCAGAGAGGTTTGGCGTGGAGGTGTGACTGCCCTCTACCCTCCGCTGCACAATCTGAAAAAGCAAGATGTGTGTGTGTGTGTGTGAGAGAGCGAGATCGTGTGTCCCCATGAGACTTGTCCAGAGGGGCTCTTGCCGTATTTTTCAGGGAATTTTTAAATCAGTGATTCCACCCGCGTCCTCTGTACAAGGTTGGGCGGGAAGGACCCGAAGGAAAAGAGAATAAGAGAAAGACAGCACCTCTTTGCTCCTTTACCATGTCTCTACTTGAAAATCCAGCTAAAACTAGCTTAGCTGTCCTCTCGAACATGGCAGCTGGTCCAGCTGGTGTGAATCTGGCAGACCTTAGACCAGTAATAAACAAGCTACTGCATTGTAAAAATCCCAGCTTGACCACTTTAAACTAGTATTTTCAGTAGGATGCTTATTCAAGATAGCCTGGCATCTCAAAAAAGTCCCCATCAGGCTAGAAACCATAAACTCCCAACTATTCAAAACAAAAGCTTCATAAAACATAAAAGGCAACTACGTATTTTCAAGCTGAAAAACACAATTTATACTGTGCAAGAAAAATATGAAAAAGGAATATTATAAACAACAACAAAATCAAATAAATATTTACAAGAAATTAGGCTACACTTTACTGTTAAGGTTACATAGTTATACTTAAATACTGAGCAATATTAATTAATTACTTAGTATAGTATATAGCACTACATGTATATAGTTACATTCATGGTTAGTTACTTGTAATTGTGCATAATTTACTGTTATAGTATAGTAAGTACATGAAGTAACGTGCAACAACGTCATCTAAAAATAACAGGTTGCACTTTCAATGTACTTTAAAGTGTACTCTCCCATGAAAAAACTGAGTAGTGTATGGTAACTGTTTTAAGATCATTTCTGATGAAATGGAAAGATTAAGATTAAAATTTGGACACATGCTGCTGGCCCGAGAATTTTCAGTTTCTGTGGTTCCACAATGGATGCATTGGTTCACGGGAACAATCCTTTCTAAAACGCATTAAACTTTAGTTTAAAAAGACGTGAAACTCACAGAGAGGTCTGGATTGTATCAGTGCACCAATGCAACCATTGTGGAGGTGGGGTGCAACCACAGAAACCGAAAATCTCGGGCCAGCAGCATGTGTCCAAATTTCAATCTTAACCGTTATATTTCATCAGAAATGATCTTAAAACGGGGCTTTAAGTGTAAAATACTGAACTTGTCCTTTAAGGTTTAGAGGTAGGTTCAGGGTTAGTAAAATAGGGTTTATTTTTCAGTAACAGGGTAAAGTGCTTCCAAATAAATTATCAGATTTTGTGTCACCATTGTCCTAAAGCAAATAGATAAATAATAATAATAAAAACAATTTATATTTACTTAAAGACTAAGATATTTGTTCTTGGTTTAAAAAAAGATAGCTGTAATTACAATAACTTAAGTCAATAAATTCATGATATCGGTCTTTTAAAAGTCTGTTAAAGCAGAATGAAATACCAAAATCAAATTCACTGAATGTTAAAAAAAGCACAAGAGAAACAAGATCACACGAATCTTCAGAATTTTTGTGTTTGAACTTCCGTTTTTGCGGTAGCTCTATATATTTCTATGGCTTCGCTTTTGAGTAATTAGCTGGTGAAGTAGATTTACTTGTAGAGCTAACGAAAGTTATCATTGGCATTGTAATGTTTGAAGCGGATGTCATAACAAATGTCAGTAGATGGGGAACATTTTTAAGCTGTTCATTCATAAATCCACAAGATCTTACCTTCATGCTGTGGAAATACAAACCGGAAGACAAAACACAACGAGCGCAGCACTGAAAGGGGGCGGGGCTACATAAGTTCTATACATTTTGTGGATTTTTTTCATGTCCCACTACCAATCAAAAGCTTTCCAACCATTTATAATATTATAAAACATTATTTCAAAATAAAAGCTGTTCTTCAGTACATTCTATTCAAAGATTCCTGGAAAAAGCATCAGGTTTTCCACAAAAATATTAAGCAGA